TATTTATAAAATGGCTCTTCACACAAACTTTAAAAAACGTAGCCTGTAGCCTGTAGCCGAGCCGCCGAGCCCTGTGCTAAAATAATATTTTTCCAGTTACACACGATACCCTTTTATAAAAAGTTTAAATTTGAATTAAATCGTATTTTAATAATTTTTATTTTATTATTTTTTAATCTTTAACAGAGCACCTGGTGAGTCGTGGTTAATTTTTACTTGCAATGCTTTGACTACTAGCTTGATGTTATGACCATATGATGAGTTTAATCTGTATTGTTTTTGTAACCAGAGCAATTAAAATTGTTGTTGCACAAGAAAGTAACGACCTCTGTCATGTTTCGATGCACATCCTCGGGCTCTGAATTTTCGACCATTTTAGCCACCTCAAGCCACAACCAGAGCAGCGATCCATGACAAACCTATGGACGTGCACGGTGTTTATTTTTTGTTGTCAGCAAAGTGGCAGAATTTCAGCAACAAATTCATGATAGGGAAATGAATAGAAGTGGAGATATCGCATCACTCGCGTTCCCGAGCATGAAAAGTCAAAGCCTGACAAAGAGTATTACACCAAGTGGCGTAAATTGGAGATTAGAGCAGATTGAAGGCAAATCGGTATGTTGTGTCTCTTTGAAATGATCAAATATTGAGTGAAGCTGCATTGTGGAGAAAATTGTGAAAAGAAATTTTTATATCATTTTTTTTCATGGTAAACGTGGATTGACTTTTTGTGGAAAATCTGACCTGTTAACAATGGCAATGTTCTGGGATTGCTGAAGCCTATTTTTCATTTTGATCCAGTTTTCAGGGCACAACATTGACAACGAAATGATTAACGATTTATGCCCATTATCTCTATAATCAGCCTCAAAATAAATTTATTGGACATTGTGCTGGTCAAGTTAATAAGTAAACTGTGCGCTATCGTGAATAAGCTAAATATTTTACAATCATGGTTGATGCTAAACATTATGTTAGCCACACTGAACAAAAGACATTTGTTATCCAATATGTGCAGACATAAACAGAAACCAGAAATGATAGATTTGTTAACATTCTCTGATTGTCCAACAAAAATTTGGATCTGATTTGACCGATTCGGTCTTTGTGACTCTTAAAGTATTTAAAATTCCATTTGTTGATTGCCACGGTCAGGGATATGTCAGGAGTGTAAAAGTGCTGGAAAGTATTAAGGATTTTGAGCATTTATTCTGAAGCAAAACCTAATGTCTTTCTTCTCACTATGTGTGTGTTTATTTATGTGGTCTGAATGCAGGTTCAGTCTGTCCGGTTGTTGCGAAATTTGTGGAGTTGTTAAAACCGTGTACAATATATATTTTTAGCAAGCTCATAGAGCTGGGATTTACTAGAGAAAATAATAGGTGGTGTTTCACTCCATGGACTTTCTGGAACTCGCTGGACTGAAAGACTTGATAGTGTTCAACCCTTCTTTAATGACTTGCCTGGAAAAATTGAAGCTCTGAAGGAAGGTTTTCACCTGAACCTGATCACAAAGACGCGTACAGATGTAAAGGGAGCTATTCAATATAAGATATTCCTCATATGTGTCACGATGGCAAGGGTTCATGTGAAAGTACTATCCCTGATTGACCGCCAGAATGAGATTCTTCAAGCACAGAGTTCTACAGTTGACATTTGTTACGCACTGACTTGTATTGGGAGAAATTAATCTCCTATTTTAATTTTAATTGGCTCGTTGTAAACAGTGCCTAACAAAGGACGATACCATATAATCAACAATATTAAGGATACGACCCAAAACAGTTTCTAGTCACAATTAATTACGATTTATTATGTCTTAAGATAATTACAAAATAAAATAAAATAAAATTACAATCTTCAACTTACAGTATGGCAGATGTCGTACCGGTACACAGTTAATACAATTAGAAATAATGATGCCAATAAATAATGCGAAATAAACACATATAAGTAGGAGCACACAAATACACAAAAGAATAAAACACGCCTCGTAATGTTAAGAGAATCTATATGAAATCTCCCTCCGTCGTCCGTGCCTGTCAATCCCTTATATAGGTGGGTCTACCGACGCCCAAGCCCTGCCTTCGAGACATTTCGAGAAAAATCCCAATCATTCTACCAAATACTATTTGGAACAGATTAATTATTTTCAGTGGCTGGCGGTGTAAACAAGAAATACATCAAAGACCTAAGCCACACCCCTTTGTGAACACAGCGTCTCATGCGGGGTCAATCAGAGGGCACGTACGAGAAATATTGTGTAAACAAGCTCTCTGTAACACATTGAATTGGCTAATTTGAATTCATTGATATTTTAACTGAAATCTGTTTGGGGTGAGTGGCCAAAATTTCTGAAAGGGGCTAAAAGATCATCAGAATCAGTCCTGAATTCTCAATCAATTGAAGGAATAACACACACATTTTCATGTTGACCAGGTTGGGGACAATCCATGTGATTCCATTACGTCCTCTGAACCAGATGAAGAAGTCTATTTCAGAAGAAATAATTTTTTTGTGGAACCTATTTTTGATTTTTGTTAGAGTTGAACTAAAAGTTTTCTTCACAGCAATTCAATAGATTACAGCTTTGCTCAGCTTCTTTTTGAATCAGTCCATTATGTTTGAAGCTGAAATAAGAAGTTCTTGCACAGTCTTGTCCAATTAATATTCTTATAATATTTCTGAAACAGATCTGGTGAAAGAAATATTGTCTTTGAAACAAATTCATCTTGCCAACTTTGGAGCAAGGCGTCTTTATCCAAAGAATTTGCTGAACAAAGTTTAAGAATTTAAGCTGTGCGAGATTTTTGGAAATGTGATGATTGAATTGTATGTTGTTCATTCCCAGTAACTGTTGCAACAGCAGAGTGGTCATTTATTAAGCTCAGATTTATTTATTTTTTAAAATTATGAGATCAACTATGGTTCAAGGGGAAACCAGTGATTTGACTTTGTTAAATATTGAGTTAATTTTGGCCTTCAATTTTAATTTCATTGAAGATTTTTTTATTTTTTGTTGAAGGCTAGAAGAGCGTTTTAGTAGTAATGTAATAAAGTATATTTTGTACCAAATTCACAAACAGTTTTATTCAATTATTATGAAAATTGTGGGTTTAAAAAGTTTGAATTTACTCGGGGCTCTAAAAATCCTCTTCATGGCCCTTCTTCGTAGTAAATGTACTTTGATTTTGGGTGTTAATTAGTTCGTCCTGGCCCAAAAGTGATTGACATACAATGTCAGTGAAAATGTCCGGAACCGCTACAGGAATGCTGGAAACACTAGGCTGGTCTCCGTTGGAGGAACGACGACGACAGCCGGGCTCTTCATAATGTACAAGATAAATAATGGGCTGGTCCACTGCTCCAACCCCCAGTGCATGATAACCTCACAAAGTAGCCCTTGCAACCAGTGAAATATCCTCATCAACACCAGGCACAGAAACATTGTAAATCCCCACTACATGCATAGGAGCCAAAATGATCAATACATTTATTTTGGGCCCTTGATATATAGAAGAAGAAGAAAATATGCCTACAGACATGCACAAGAAATAGTATCGCTTCAAGTAGGCTAAGTCAAACATATATAAAAAGTTTTGAAATAGGGGGGGGGGGGGGAAAAAAGCCTAGCAGGCTTGTTAAACCCGTGTTTTAAAAAGTGGGGGGGGGGGGCGTAAACTATTTTAACTTCACTCACAGGGTAGGCTATGTTAATTTGGCATTTAAATTTAATCTAATGAAACGAAATATAGCAAAAAAAGACATGACCCTAAAAATGTATTATTCATGAAAATTATAATTAGTAAGCCTAATAATAACTGGGGCGGGGTGCAAAACTCGATAATTTCCCCGGGTGCATCCTTTGGACTTTGGAAAAAGATCGTGTTGACCGTTCCCTGCGCTCACACCGCCCAACGCAACTGGTTGTGACAACCGATTCCTACCTAGCAGACAGACTTGAACATACATCCGACAACCCCTTTGCCTTGATATGGTCACTGTTATCGTCTTTTAATAATTTTCCATTCAAAAAAATAAAATTCCATAGACTATTAATTTTTATTTGTTGACAATGCATAGTTAATATATTCATTTTGTTTGCCCTGTTCTCCATTCTCATTTAGTTTCACATAACTTCTTTTAAATGAAATATTTTTTTAACTGGTCATACTCACGTGACCAAAATAAAAACAATTCTGAAAAAGTGTAACCATCTATTATTATTAGACTGTGTCGACGACCTTTAAACATAACACACATATTAGTTTAGGGGATGTAGGCCTACTGGCTGTGGCACATAATTCATAATAATATAATAATATATACTTTGCAACCAGATACAGAACAATCGGGAGTGGATTACTCAACGGAAACTGTGCTATGTGAAAAGTAGGCAAAAAAAAGGTCTACTTTAATGACTTTATTATTATTGTCTTAACTTTTCGGTTTTTGTACTCTTACTCTTACTCTAAGTATTATAACTTTTACTTTTAACTTAGTCTTAACTTTAGTTGAAGTTGAAGCACGTTTGTCGTCTATTAATAAAGAATTAAGTTACAGTTAAGTACAAGTATTAAGAATCAGTCAAGTCTTAATTTAAGTTATTCATTTTTAAAATTTTTAAGTCATTTAAGTTTCTGTATTAAAAGTAAAGTGTTAAGGCTTAACTAATAATTTTAATTTGGTTAAGTTATTATAATTTTATAGTTAGGTACTCCAACTCAAAATTTCAAATACATCTGACATATAAAGTACACAAGGCGACAAGGTACATATAATTGGAAAGAGATAGCTTTAAGCTTTCCATTGACACCAAGATTATCTTTCAATCACTTATACTAATACTAGGGCTAATGTGAAGAGATAGCACCCTGACATCATTTGCGTGTTTTGTCCCTGTGTTATATAGAGCTTGTTTACATAATTTTTCTCGTGCGTGCACCCTGATTGACCCTGCATGAGACGCTGTGTTCACAGATGGGTGTGGCTTAGTCTTTTGATCTGTCGTGTTGATGCCGACAGCCACTAAAAATAATTAATCTGTTCTAAATAGTATTTTTTAGAATGATTGTGATTGTTCTAGAAATGCTGCATAGCCTCTGGAAGGCAAGGCTTATGCGTCGGTAGACCCACCTATATAAAGGATTGACAGGCTCGGAAAGACGGAGATTCTGAAAGAAATTATTAACTTTACGAGACATGTATTATTCTTTGTGTTTTTGTGTGCTCATACTCACGTGTTTATTTCGCATTCATCATTATTCATTGGCACATTATTCTAACTGTGTTAACTGTGTACCGGTGCAAGATCTACCATACTGTAAGTTGAAGATTGTCATTATATTTTATTTTCTTTTGTAATTATATTAAGACTTAATAAATCTTATTAATTGTAACTAGAGACTGCTTTGGGTGTCGTATCTTTAATATTGTTGACTCTATGGTATCGTCTTTTGTTAGGCACTGTCTACAACGAGCCAATTAAAATTAAAATAGGGGATTAATTTCTCCCAATAAAAGTCAGTGCGTAACACCCTGGTTCCGATAGGATCAAAACCCTGGTTCCGATAGGGTCAAAAGCCAGGTTAGGGACAAGGTTAGGTTCAGGTTAGGTTTAGGGATAGATTTAGGGTTCAGGTTAGGTTTAGGGATAAATTTAGGACATAAGTTCGCGGGTCGCGGTTCTATCTCTTCACATTTACAGAGAAAAGTTATGAATTTTTTAGTGATTCATTTTTCCCCACTATTTGGATTTGTAGTTAATTTTTAAAACTGTGATGGAATATTAACTGTTTGTACCATTCTGGTTGTATCTTGTTGACTTTTAAAGTTAGAGCTATCCAATTTGGAGGAGACATTTACAATACAATGTTTAACAAAACACATACATTTGGAATTAACTTACTTTATTTTATAAGCATGGTCACTACAATTGTAGAAAAATTATTTTTTACAATAAAATGACATAATTATTAAACCAATAAAGCTATTGCTATAAAATTTTCAAATCAAACAGATTATGTCCATCTAAAAGTAAGGCACATCTAAAATAAATAAAATACAGAGTAGAAAAATGTATGCAGTATTAGAAAAAATGTTTCATGAAAAGCAACTACGGCCGAGACATTTTTTACATTTAAATATATAACTTTTAAACTAATAAAGCTAATGCAATCAAATTTTCAGTACAAATAGGTAGTGTCAAAGCAAATATAATAGAATATTAAAATATTGCAAAAGCAATTAAAATCACGCTATACAAAATTTTAAAATGTCATGTAACCTGTCGATATTGATTAACATTTTTAAATATAACTTTTAAACTAATAATGCTAATTCAATGAAATCTTCAGTACAAATAGACAGTGACAATCTAAATTTATTAAAATATTTACATACAAATAACATAATTCAGAGCATTTTATGTAAAAGTTATTGAATGAAACTCCATCTCTGTCGACATTATTATTGTACCGGGTACAGGTACATTAAGTTTCGGATCTGGAGCTCTAGCAACCCTTCATCCTCATCGATTGATTGGTAGATTAAAAAACATCTGCCTCCATTGTCAATATCAAATGTGGTTGTTTTTTTTTATATCTTCCAAGTTGGCACAACATAGCACAATTACAGGGAATGATGACAATCTCTCAATCTGTAACTCTGAAAAATAAAAAAAAGATTAGGACTACTAATTTATGAATACCGGTACATATAAATAATGATTCAATATTTTTAAATAGGCTACACAATGTTCTTTGGTTAAGTATTATTATTTTATAGTCGATATAGTATATATATTATATATAATTATAGTATAGTCCTATTTATTTTATAATCAAATAATCCTGCTATTTCAATACTACTAGTTACATTAAGCCTGTGACCTATGCCTGTACCATCATAGTTTTCTTTGTTAATACTTAGTTAATTAAATAAGTTAAGTTCAGTTAGACTTAGTAAAGTTATTAAAATAATTGGAATAAGGATTTCTGAAAGTAATTGTAAAAAAAAAATCCAGGAAGGCAAAAATAAAATTTCCTAAGACATACCAAAATGAAAGAAGTTGGCCAGTGATTTGGAGAGAAATATCCTGTGTATGCTGAATTGGACTTCACAGAAGAAGGGGTGTATTTCCAGTATTTCATATCAAAGTTAGAAGAGTCTCATGAAACACTGTCTGCATCATTATAATAGAAACTCATTATTAAAATGGGGTATGACACCATACATAATTAATAGGCTTCTATCTAATGATCACAAATGCCACTGTGGCCTAATCTTTTTAAAGTATGTTTTTGAGACTTTTGCTTAATTTTTCTGTAGTTGCCATGCCGTGAAAAATTAATGAAAAGGCAAAAATTAACTTTCAAAATCAAATTCCAAAACATAGTGCATTTTTGACTGTCTATGGTCCTCAATGGGCCTTAACCTAGCACTGAGTATAGTTTATCGGTTTCAATCATTCTATTGTAGTTTAAAGGCTAGATATCTTTTACACATTTAATAATACCTTAGTCATAACTTGGCCCCCTTAAGTAGTAATTAACAAAAATATTGTAAATCCATGATAAATAGGCCCCTAGCAGTTGTGTCTAAACCGCCCCCCCCCCTCCCCGGGACATTGGTCATTTATGTGATGTTGGTCATGGTATTGGCATTTCATTCAAGAGTTCACAATGAAAATATGCCTATTTATTAGAAATGCAAAAACTTACTCTTATAAACTTGTTAGAACATTGTTGGTTATTCAATAATGGTAGCTTATTGATAACAAACTATTACAGTTTCACTAAAAGTTCAATAATTCTTCACATTTTTCTGCAAATCAAATTGTCAAATGCAGTGGTTGTTCAGAAAATGAATTTTAGTAGGCATATTATATTTTTAGTTTTAATTCATAAAATTCAATTGTCAGGTTTAATGGCTGTGCGTTCAAAATGTATCATTTTTTGAAATTGTGGAATGGATTTCAATCCTCAGTACTACCCAGACCCGCAAAAACAAGCGTCTGGTTTTTCTCCTTTTTGGTTTCGTCACATTGTTAAAACAAAAATATCAAAACAAATATTGAGTATTTGTACTATTTCTTTTCAAATATTTATTTTGCAACTGGAGAAATTCAAAATCTGGCATAAAATTGCCCCCCCCCCCCCTCACAATGGAAGTAGCTGCCCTGATTCTGTTTAGATGCCCCTTATAACTAGCCTATATTTAGAACACAAGTAGTATTTTGAATACCTATTCAGTATTCTTGTTGTCATCATTGTTGCACTTCTGAGTGTGCATGTGCTGTCTTAATTCTGAAAATTTCATTTTTTATAATTCCAGAGAAAGCATGTATGACTATAATAGAACATTTATGTTAATATATGAAGAATACGTCACCAGCCATTATGTTTTCTTTGAAAAACAATGTTACCACATATTAAAACATATTACTACCCCAATAATTACATTTATTCCAATATCGCTATTACTATTAATTTTAATCCACATCACTATGTTGAAATAGAGTTCATCAGGCAAAATGAAATTGCATTAAGGCAGACTTTTTTTACATTTTTTTTACAGATGTAACATGAAGAACAGTGACTGAGTGCAAATGGATTCTTTACAGAGAAGACTGCTCAAGGAGCTGTTATTTTTATCACTTGTTTTTATTCCTCTGGTCATGTCATGTCAGAGAAAACCAGATTTACACACAACTCATCAGACTACAGCAGCAGCATCTACCACTCGTGCATATCCCCCAGGAAATACAACTGCAGTAATACCTGTGACATTGTCTCCTTCTCAACAAGGTATAGAATTTTACAATAAATTTTAGTAGTGTAGATGACATTCATGTCAATATAAAAATCACCTGTGTTCTGTCATTCTGTATGTCTAATTATCAGAAAGGCTGCAGAAAAGCGATTTATACTTCAAAATTTATTAGGAATTTGAAGCTCTTAAGATATAGATATAAAATAATATTTTTGATAGTTTAATTCATTAATTGAAAAACAAATCTGTAACATATACATTGTTATTTTCATCAAATGTTAATTTTTCTTAAAAAACATAAGAACACAGTATCTCTTTTACACAACTTGAATGCAGTCCATTATTTATTATCTTTTAATTTTTCTTATTGTTAATTGAAGGAATAAGATTTATGTGGACTTACTGAACCAAAAGAGTTTATTAAAAATTCTGCATACAAAATTTGAGCTCTTTTATTTTGTTAACGAAATATTATCAACAAAATTTTCGAACAAAGGTTTAATAAGACTCACATTGAAGAAAAAAAATGCATTCAATGATACATTTACTTCCATGTATCCCTACAAAGCTTATTAATGGTATATTAATTTTACTTAGGATATGAAAACATTTTATCCACAACAAATATGTTTCATTTCAGCAAGGTATTTGATAACACTTATAAATTCTGGTCCTGCCATCCTTGATTCCATGGTGCTATTCAGTGCAAAGTTAACTAAATTATCTGGAAATGACTATGATCCACTGCCAGTTCAGTAAGTTTCTAAAAATCATCAATGATGAATGAGCAGTTAAATATTCTATGTTTACAAATGAACGCTCAAGAAAACATAATTTAAGCACGGAATGTTTGATACTTACTAATGTCTTATTGTCTTCGATGAAAGTACAGTTTGGTTTTATAACAATAACACACACAAAAGTTTGAAGCTCCAATTTTGTGTAGTACAGAGGTCCTTAAACTTCTTGCACACTTGAGTGTCAAATATATAAATCATATAAATTTTGGATTTGTCAGCACAAAAATTAATAAATGCCATCTCTTAACTCCCTCATGGGGGCATGCCTTCAGCTGCTTTTAAGGTAGCATTTATCCTATGGGGTCATCTGTCATCTGTTGGGGATCACTTTTCATTATGTTATTTGTAATGCCCCATATCACTTTGACCAATGTGGACTATTTCCCCCCTTAGTTTAAAATAATTTCTTTTTACCTATGCATCAAAACCTAAATTAAACACACTTTGTTTTAAATATTTATCAACACTTTTTTTTTAAAATACCTATCAACACTTGCTTTCCTCCTTATTTTGAACAGATTTAACTTCCAGTGGATGAACATGGCCAACATACAGATGAATAAAACAAAAAATAATTTCACGTCTCAAATATCCATGAGATTTTCAAGCCCTAGTGTTTCTGCTGGAGAGTACACAATGACAGTGGCAGCCTTTCCATCCAATGACTCTACAAAAATGGTAGCTTATGAGACCATGAAATTTGTCTTGACGGGTAAGAAGAATTTGAGCAGTTATTTACCTGTGCTACTACTTACTAATAATATAAAGGGGTTGGGTTGACTATGATACAGCTTTTCCACTTAAGGAAAATTACTAATCTACTACTTTCTATCACATTTACCAAATTTACCTGGACATCTAGTCATGGTAGCAATGTGAGAGGATATTTTAAATTTTAATAATCTCTAACGACATAAATTTTGGATGGGCGGAAGTTTTCAGGTGTACTTTTAAAAAACAAATTTAATTGTAATTTATTAATTTTTTTGTTTACACAGAACCATGTTGTAGCATGTTTATAAATGTTTATTAGTTTACTTTTTTTTTTTTTTTTGAAATTTGGAATCCATCTGAAGTCATCCTGAAAATATATTTTTATTCCTCAGATAATTTAAATGGCCACATGATATTTAGGCAGCCCCTAGATTATCAGAGATTTCCTCATGTTTTTGCAACCAGCCAACCTATAACTATTGCTGTAGATATACATGATAAATTTAGCCAAGGGGAAGATGATTTTGAATATATCTGGTTTATGGGTGAGCAATTTATATCGCAGGAGAAAATATTAACGACAAGTTTTGATGCGCCTATGCAATTCTTTCTGAAAACGCTAGTCAGCTTAAAATCTAAGCAAAGTGTGTATTATGTAAATAACGATCACACCCACAAATCTCCTTCTGATAATAGATCTTTCTCAAATAACCAACTAAAGCCAAATACAAACTATGAATCACATATAATTTCAAGTGACTTGTCAACATTTGATGAAAAATGCCAGTCTTCAAAATGTGGTCAGTTTGAAGAGTTTGTTATTTTTAAAGGTAAGTTTAATTTTGTCATACTAAATTTGTATCTTCTTTTTTTATTATTTTTTTTATTATTTTTTTTGCATGCATTTGGGATTGTGAAGTCGATGTTGTCATGGGTCTTTATCATTTCCTACCACCAACACCCACATTTTTAACTTCAGTGAGGTTTACAGCTTCTATGTTAACGAGTCTATAAAATGCAGTGGATTAAAATGACACTCCAGGTGTCTTCATCAAAAGTAGTTAAATTAAAACTTGTTTTGATCCTTTGATTTGCACCTTAACATAATCTAAACATATTTGGGGGGGGCTATTTTCTTATATTAAAAAAAAACATAAACATTTTAAGCTCTCAGATTCTCCATTATAGCTGATTATCTTAAAAATCATGTATACATAAACATTTGATATCATAATGCATTCACAGCATACCAATTTTACAAGCTTCATCATCATGATAAGTTTACCTGATAAGCTGGTACTGTAGACTTTTATCTGTTTGCCAAGGTCATTGATAGTAAATGTAGTTTTCTGACCACTTAATGTTACCACATGAATATAGCAATTATGTCATTAATTTTTTTTAAAAACATAACTGCTTAGCTTATTGTTATCTAAAATAAACACAAGAGCCAGGTCAAAAAGTGCAAACAGGTACACTTTATTTATAGAGTAATTAGCTAGAATTGGTTATTTCCAATACACTATACTATTTTTTAGAATTTTCTGATTTATTGATTTATTATATTTTCCATCATATTCATCTTGACTGGAAGTGATTGTAATTATTCATGTGGTTGGCTCCTAAAAGAAGATAATTTTTTATCACAAGCTCATACACACTTTTTAGCCCACAGTTATAGCTGATTTTTTTAATTATTTTTTTTTTAAAATTACTAAGTAGCTTTCAAAACATATGTTATCTATTTAAACGTATTCCTCACCTGATTTTATTAATAATAGCCTTTTGAAGCGAAAATTATTTTTGAAGTTTTGTTCCTCATTCAAAATTGGGGCATCAACTACTATATACTGATGAAAAAGTAGGGTAAAATTTTCTAAATGTTTAAAAGAAATTGTCATGATAACTCACCCATCACCTCCAAAACCGACCGAACTAGGAGCATGAAATTTGGTAGGTAAATCAATTGTATGAAGTAAACAACCACCTATAAAAGGTGATTCTTAAAAACGGATGATTTAAAGAAATAACACAATTTTTGTATACATTTTTCTTTAAAAATAAGGAAATAACTCCAACAATCCAGTAAAGGGCTTGGAAAAGTGGTGGGTATATTTTTGGAAGGATTCATACATCTCAAAAACTGAAAATCTTACTGCTCTGCTTTCCAAACTGTATGTCTGGACTCAGCAGTTTGTCACCTCAAGGATGTAGGTGTGTTGCACAAAAATAAGCCACACGCTGTGAACATTTACACCTTTTTTAATACTTAAAAAGTCACACGCTGTAAATGAACTAAGACAAGTTATGGAGAGAGTGGTGCAAATAATAAATTGTAGTTTTAAAAGCAGACTTTTTAAATCAAATTTATATTGCTAATATTCGGTAATAAATATGGTCAAAATTTTAAAAAAGCTGATACTGCACACATTCATTGACTCTGATGAGGTCGGGTATTATTTTTATATACTAATTAATTTACAGAATAATGCTTAGGAAATAATCAAAACGAGTTCGGATTCTGACATATTTGAATATTCGAATAAAATAAACATCAGCATGCAAGGAAAAGATATCATTGGTATATCTTATTGGTGACATGGGATAGGGAGACAAGAATGGCATTTTGAAATAAAAAGTGTTTAGAAGAAAATTTGGAAAAGTATGTCAAAACAGCTGAGTGTGAGCCAAAATGGGAAATAGCAATTTAATTGTGGACCATTTGAATTAACATCAAGAGAAAGTTTATCTTTACTTCCCAAATGCTAAAATCCAAAACTGTGATTGGGTTAGGAATCCTTTTCTTTCAAATGAGAGAGGAACTTTTCTTTTACTTAATACGAAGAATAAGATGAAATAACAAATGTTTGGAATCTGTTAAAATAAAGTTTAAGAGGAAGTTTTGGATTTGCATTTGACACTTGCATACAAAATGCATATAAAAGGTTTTCATAAGAATGTTGTATCATCATACATTGGGTTATAAGACTAAATTTATGTTTTTATGTTTTAAAATGCATTAGTTTAACTTCTCATATACATGTAAAACTGATTTACTGTGTCACGAAATAGTGTAGTTCTAAAAAGTCTTTTATTGACATGAAAATTTGGAAAGCACTATCTTACAGACTTGGAAGTCGGTATTTAGATTCTTCTTTAAAAATAAGGAAATACACATGATTAACCTTTTCTCGAAAATAAAGTTTCAGTGTTGAAAGATGTAAACACTGAATAGCTCAGAGTTTCAGTTGACTTCAATAATTTTATTTATTTTTATTATATTATCTTTCTTTTTTCTTTCTTTTTAAAAAAAATTAAAATATGGTTTAGAGTTGAAACTAGAATCTTGTCCAATTAAACAACTACTTATATACACACAACTTCTCTTTTGCAACTAATTTTGAAAACCCTAAAACCTTTTAGAAAATAATGACAAAGAACAAATAATAACTGTATAAATTTGCTTCCATGTGGGCAGTTTTTAGTTTCAAAATGGCTTGTAGGTATATTACTATTTCTGACATAATTTTATTCATTTAAAATTAAATTTGAAATATAAAATAATTTCAACTGGCACCAAACTTGAATTTGAAAAAAGAAATCAGAGTTGAGATAGATTTTTGTGACATTGTCACATCACAAACACTTAACTCAAAGACAAAATATAAACTGCCCTTTAAAAAGTTTGATATAGGCATCAGCTCTTGTCATCTAAAAAACTAGTTGATTATTAAAAACCACCGAACAGTTTTCTTTGCTGGAGCATTCATTTATATACTTTATTATTATGATTTTTTTTGGTGCAAATGATATAGATATATATATACACTTGAAATCTATAAAAATGGATTTTAGTTTGTAATTTTTATTTTCCTAGATTCCTTAAAAAACTGCTCCATTAAGAGACTTGATGATGATCACGACAATAAAGAAATCCCTTTAGGAACTCCAGCATTATTTAATATTTCTTGCCTTGGAAGGTAAAGATACAATTTAATGAGACTGCCACCAAATTTAAAATGAATTGTCTAACAGTCAGAGCAGTTGAAACTATTCAACTGGTCGGTCCATGGGTGGGTATTTATAAACTAACCCAAGTTTTCTTGTATTATTCCACTTTCCAATATTGATTACATAGCGCTAAGTATCCATGCAATTTTAGCATGCTCACTGCGCTCTCAGTGATGGCATCCGGGGCGTCGCAGGGGTTGTCGGAATGATTCATTGTTTCGATGTTTTCCGCCTGTAGGGGACGCCATCTCCGGGTTTGAATTTAGAGTTTCCTTCTTTTAGATGAGTTGCCGACCAAGGTTAATGAGTCCCATCTACCCGGGGGGGCTGGTGAGGTTTTTTTTTTTTTGCTTGACTGGGCTTTGGCTGGAATTGAACTCCCGACCACCAACTTGAGATTTGCTCAGTTTAGACCACTCGGCCCACCGCTGCCTGTCAGGTGCTTGTGAACCGGAAACTCTGGCTTTGGCTGGAATTGAACTCCAGACCACCAACTTGAGATTTGTTCACTTTAGACAACCCTTACTTCTGTTCAAAATAACAATTCCTGTTTTCATTAACACATCTTTCTAAGTCCACATTGCATTTTAGTGATTAAAAAAAAAATATATATATATATATATGTTTTAGAAAAATATTTTCCTATTATTATTTTTTTAGTATAAAAAAAAAAAATATATATAAATAAATTTTAATTATTTTTTTTTTACCATTAATGATTGAAATTGGAATTCAAAGTTGCATTTATTGCTGGTTTGCTGCGTTTTTATATTTCTATTTTAATCCGTTATGTTTATAAAAATGTAATATACCTGTCTCACTTTTTTCGTTTAAATTAAAATCAAACTAATTTCAAAATGCGATAATTACAGATTGCACCAAGCATCCATGGTTGCTGAACCAAACTGAGCATTCGTTGTTACCTAACCAAACCCGTACTTAATTTGTTAGTGAACCCAACCAAACCCGAACTTAAATTTGAATCGTACCTGAACTTAAGATGTTACAACCGAACCAAACTCAAACTTAAGTTGTTAAAGAAACTAACCCGAACTTTTAAAGTGGGTTCCATTCCCATCTCTACTTTCAATGCATGTCTTGGCTTATAGACCAATGTCACACTTTCAATACAAGGCTTGTCTAATGGACGTCATGGACATTTTATTGTGATCTATTTTGCTTTAACTTTCATGAATGTTTTTCCATTAATTTACCATTTTATTATCAGATATTCACAACAAGCCCACACAAAATTTTAAGGGCATGTTTACATTACTTGTTAAAATCTACATAATTTAATTCCTCCCACAACATTTACAAGCTGCTACATATTATAATGAACACTCTTTGAAAGCCTCAGTGGTAATGTAAACTGTAAATACCTCTTTGATGCTAGCAGATGTTAGGTGAACAAAGTTGATTTTAAAAAAAAATTAAAAACGTTTCTTTTTTTCCAATCTATACACTCAGATATTACAAGCAAAAAAGACCTAGTATTATCAAGTCTAGTCACAACTTCTAATGACCTACATTTTTTTTTACATTTCAAGTTAACTCACTCCTGTCTGATTCGGTTGATGGTAATAAGTTTTAAATAATGTCTAGCTAGACACTTATCAGACTGCAATCATTTAGGCATGGCAGTCTGCCATCAGACACAGCAGTATGCCATTAATAAGGTCCAGAAGTCTCCCATCAGCTATATCCAGCATTAAGTTGAATGAACGCGCACAACATATCAACCTGATGTTTTAGTTTTAAGTACTAAATCTATATTTAGATATTTTAACATACTAAGAAACATTGCTCTTACTAGTTGTTTACATGTTTAAATAAGTAGTTTTAATTATAGTTAATTGAATAGCAGCACTATTTTGTACAAATTGTACCCATTTATACTGGTATGTTTACATGAGTTTAAGTTTTTAGCAGCCTACACCATGTTGCTTCTGCAAATTATAAGAGGGTGGGGACTGTGATAAAGCTTTTAAGTTGCTTAATGAGACACAAATAAATTGTGTTAATATATATATATATATATATATATATATATATATATATATATATAATGTATATATAATATATAAATATATTAATGTTTTTTTTGTTTATCTATGTAGGCATTTGCTGAAACGTTTAATCATTATTGAAGCTTAACATATGTTTTTTTATTTACACAAATTGTGTCTAAATTATAAGAGGGTGGGGACTGTGATAAAGCTTTTAAGTTGCTTAAAGAGACACAAATAAATTGTGTTAATATATATATATATATATATATATATATATATATATACATATATAATGTAAATTTAATATATAATTATATTAATGTTTTTTTTGTTTATCGATGAAGGCATTTGCTGAAACGTTTAATCATTATTGAAGCTTAACATATGTTTTTTTATTTACACAAATTGTGTCTCATTAATCTGCTTCTGTAAATGGACCTATATTTTGTGTCTTAAAAAGATTGCTTTTTATTTTATACAGCCAGTAGGAATCTGAAACCATTAAGCTTTTTAAAATTCAATACTAAGATGAAGATTATTCATTCACCTATTCATGAAACTAAAGGTTGAAAAAGAAAAAAAAGTGCATTTCTTATGTTTTAACTTTTGTGTCAATTAAAATGGGCCTGTTATTAGAGTTAATTTTATTAAAAAATAGAAAAAACTTAATTTCTGGAATTGCAATACCATCAGATATCTAGCACACGAGAACCTGGCTTTACCAACTTCCAAAATTAATTTCAAGATTTATTTGAGGAATAGTAGTTAGATGCTCAATGAATGTCATGAACACAATATTTTTATTATTAAGATGTTCTGTGTCCTAGGCAATGTTCCCTTTAAGCTGCACAGCTGTGCGGCCGTGCAGCTATCTCACAGACATGTGCAGCAGTTTTGAGTATGCACAGCAAATTTCCATGTAAGTGTGTTTGTGGGCTGTAAATTTTGCACACACAAAAATTGATGCTGTAAAACTTTGCACACAACTGTATGATTTTGCACACGAACCAACAAACCTTAGAGGGCACATTGGTCCCAGGTCCTTCCACACAGTGCGGTGCAGGCAGGGCAACATTTTTTTTAAAGGGCCATTTTTATAAATTATATGACTTTTATATTTGCAAAGAAACATTTTTGGGATTCACATGTCTTAAAGGTTAGGAAAAAAGAACTGCTGCATGAAGCTCCAGGGCCATTGGTGTAATGTATTGGGCTGCAATTGATTCCCCCTTTGCCCTGTCTGTAAATTGATGTTTCAGTAGCATTTAGGCCTGTGTCTTACTTTTTCAGGTCTCTTCATAATGTTTTCCCATCAAGTCTTTTTTTTATTTTCCCTTTCATGGCATCCACTGGATTATGGTCTCAGCTATATGCTGCTGAGTTATGCATAGGATGCTCTCTGGTGCTATGGTATGTGTAGGATGTTGCCTGGTGCAGGGGTATGTGCAGGATGTGCCCTGCTAAGTACATTATGCTTAGAGCAACTAGTTTCCAAGCTGTGTTCTACTTCTTTTTGAAACTTTTTCTTTACTTAAATGTACGAGGTAGCTGATCTTCATTATTGTCTCAGGCATCTTTGGTAGAGTACATTTAGTGCCTAGTTCTTTGACATGTCTTGCTGGCAGAAATTTCTGTTTGTCTCTTGGGTCTCTCATCGTTAAGAATTGTTTTATATTTGAAACTCAAATTTGTTCTTGTTTGTATGTTTTAAAAAAATGAAAATTCAACTGTCAATTCTATCATATACTTCGGTATTTAAATGGTACAACGTGACAAAAATTACAGTAATTACAAAATAATTTTTTTTTCCTAACCCAGTGGACCTACCATAAATACAAATGTCAACAGCTGCAGCTGGTTTTAAACAAGTGCATTTACGTTACGTACTATGTTCAACCACCTGTTTCATCCCAGACGTCATTAACTTTTGTGAACATTTTGTTTTTGAATGAAATTTGCATACCATTGACCTCAAACTGTAAAAAAAACAAAATAGATATTCAAAATGGCCTAGCGGTGAGGATGATTTATATTCGTTGGCCAACTTGGCTACTCATCACATTAAGAGAAAGGATCCCTGTCTCATCTCTTCATGTTTGGCATAGATATTTTGTACATTAATAAATAGTGTGTAAGTTAACCCCATTGTGTTATCTGTTTAATATATAAAGTTAAAGAATTATGGGCATCATTAACTACCATATCATTAGGTAGCCCAACATCAAAAAAGTGACTGCCCTAAAATTTGTGACTAAAATAAAGAACGAATTTGAGTTAGTTTTCAATATGATAGGGGAATTAAATGTTTTGGTTTTCTTCTATTTTCAGCGCACCTTCTGGCGTTTGCTTTAATGTCACATTCCTTAATGGCAGTGTCCCGAGCTACAATGCCTGTACACCAGTGATCTTTTCTGATACCGTCCAGCATTTGGTAAAAGTTGAACTGTTCAATGCAGGCTGGGCGTATGTTCATTTCTTCATCTATAACGATATAAGTCGAAAGTACATGCGAGAGTTGTTTTATGGCTATGATCCAGGTAATAAAATTATTTATTTTTGTGCATAGTTTTAACGGTGGTGAATCCAGAAAAAAATGAAAGACATGATTTTACAAATTTGTATACAACTTCATTATATTCCATTTAAAGCGTGTGTATCTCTAGGAAGAAAAAAAACAAGTTTTTGCTTTACATTAGAGTTCCCTTCCCATAACATTACCTGTTACTGTATTGAATTTGCTAACTATTACTCTTTAAAATTGTAACCGATTTTTGTGAAAAAACAATAAATGGGGGGAAAATATTATCTAGAACATATATTTATCACGATAGATTCTCATTGTTTTGACTACTTGCATTACGGAATTATCATTGTTGTTATTTTTATTTGCAGAAAGTGTCAATGTCCCAGCTTTAATTTTCCCAATAATTTTTATACTTATTGGGATTGTTATCCTACTTGTTGGGGCTGCTTACATGATGCGACTCAGAAAGAAACCACAAGTTGAAGTGGCAGACTTTGACTTTCATCCCAATCTTACCAACAACCAGTCAAGGACAAGCGAATATTTCTCAAGAGTCGTTTGCAAAATAAAAAATATGTTTCCCAGAACACGTCATGACTCTAACAACAGAGAATCAGAGTCGACGATCCCTTTATGCCATGAGGAATCAAGTGCACATCACTATAACAGCCTGTTATAACCCTTCTGAGAAATTCTTATTCCTGCATACTTTCATTGATTCTGATCTAAAACATTTTACAAATAACAATGTCAGCTTTTTTTTTTTTTTTTTTTAATTTTTTTTTACTAGTATACTATGTAAAGAACCTTACTCCATGGTTACCTCATCATGTTATGACTGTTTATCTTTGTTAACCTAATGTTAACACTCTAAAATTAAATCCTCTAAATATTAGACTTTCAGGAAATATATGTTTGCTGTGAGATGTGAAGCGTATTTTCTCAGTAAGAAATTTTATGCGCATGCAGTGATTTTATCATTTGTGGATCTGAAAATTAAAGTTATTTACGTTGTTTTTGTTATCGAGCTATTAAAAAAAAAAAAACTCTTTGCATATTTGACATGCCAATTGTACATATTTGTAAATGTTATAATTATGTACAAGATACTTAATGGACTACGTGAAACCAATTGTTCAAATCTTACTTGTTTTGATGACTCAATATGGGCATTCTTCCTATCATCTATATTTAATGAAAACCTTGGAGTAATCTTTGCAATTTGTCTCATAAAGTTCATGTCACAGTCATTTTAAAACATGTTTTTTCACAATATATACTCAAATCATAACAGAAACAAGTTGTTTTTTTCATTACCCCATAAATTGAAAATTTATTTGAATAATTGCGATCATTTGTCTTCAAATGTTAATCAGTGAATTTCCATGCCAGTGTTTAATATTACTAAACATGTGAATAATATGTACATATCTTTTTTTCAGTTATGTTTATTTTTGCAGTTTAAATTTCACTAAATGCAAGAATACAATGTTTTGTAAATAAAATAGTAAAATTTGTTTCAATGCCTTGGACTGTATGATTCTAAAAAAAAATATTTAATTGTAATCAATTTTGTTTCTTTCAGTTATAATTTTTAGTATTCTTTGGTTTAAATTAAAATATTCTGTAATTTCTTTGGGCTAATATTTAATATCATTATTATAATAATGCTTATGTTTTTTTTTTAAACTAATCTGTTAGCCTTTTAAAAATATTTTTGGATACTTAACATGTCCCTCAGCAATATTAATTTGAATATGATACATTTATCACTTAAAATTTTTGTAAAGATATTTTATGTATGTTTATTTTTTATTTTTTTGAGATGCAATAACTTTGATATGGCTTGTTGAATCTTGATTTTTTATAAAGTGTTCCCAGTTCTGAAGCATTCCATTATGTCATAATAAAATTTACTACTAAATAATCAATAACAAACTTCAAAGGCCATTAAATGTTCTGTTAACTTTGTCCCTAAGACTCTGTAGTAATTTTAGCTGATGCTAAAAATATATGAATAGAAACAAAGCTAAGAAACCATGTTTTTGCAATATTGTGTGCAATATTTTTAAAACTTATGCTTCTTAAAATATAAATAAAATGACTACTGGAGGCCCTTCTTGGATTCCAAAGCATTCAAATTAAATTTAACTCTCCTTGATGCTGGTCTTGAATCCCCTTCAAATACTGGTTTTTTTTGGTGTTTTTTTTCTCTCATTTTTTACATTTTCAACCTTGCATATTTATATATTTATCATTATGATTTGCCTTAATACTGTGCCAATTTCTTTTCATTAAGCCAAAGACTTCATTTTGGAGGAACAAAATGTAAATTTTCAAAACCACTTAAATACTCCTAAACTTTTAATAAACTTTTATTGCACAAATAACTTTACCAGTTCACCAAGTTAAACAAATTAAATGACCTTTCTTGAAAATGATATTGAGAAAGAAGGAAACGTGAGAAACTTTATTATTTAAAGAAAACAATAACTTTTTATTTAAGTTCTTTCAAAAAATTCAACTCGTTAACAATGCACAGTTATATATTTAATGGCAATCTAAATTTAATTGTGGCAAGCTCTGTTAAATATCCATGAAACCTTGTTCAAGCAATTGTGCAGGGGTTGGTTTCCTAATAGCAATTACTTTTATGTAGCAACCATTCTCATTTCCTTTTTTGAGCTTCATTATCTGAAAATTACAGTGAAAATGGACATTTCAATAATTGCTTAAATTGTTATGACTGCATATACAACACTCAGTACTTTGCAACATGAAGGTTGTCACACCATGTATAAATGTTTGTTGACTCACGTATTTAACGTTAAGTTACATACTACCTGCGTATTTTCTAAAGATGAAAGTGCCTGTTTTTATGTTGATACACTCGACTATTGTTTAAAAATAATTTATTTATTGTTCAAATAAATTATAATTTATTTAAAATTTATTAACCAGTTTTTTTTTAGCATGATTTCTTTCAAACTATGTGCATAAAAAATGTATTAAAATAAAATAATATATTTGAAAAAACTTCAAGTCTATTCCCAAAAGAGAAATTTGAAAAAAATTACCATTATAATTTTATCCAAAATAATCAAAGAATTTTAAAGAAAATTGCAGTTTTGAATTATCTTATAGTTGACTCTTTACAACAATTAGCATCCAACAGTTCAAATTAGCTGCCATTTTGACACAATAAACGACAGCCAAAATAACATGAATGAATTCATTAATTCTTTCGCTTTAAATTTTTATTACATGGAGCAGGAACTCAAACAGGTTAAAGAGTGTAATGCTCCGTTTAAAAAAAAATAAATTGTTATTTACACTAGTACCAACTGTAATAAAAATGGTTTTAGTGACAAAACAATATGAATTGTTGATGAACATGCCAAACATAATATTACCTTTAGAACTGCTCGCACTCTTTCAAGAAGATATTTCCATTTAATGTTAGTCCTCTCTACTCCAGCCAAGTTTTTATATTCATTTGCCTGTAAATACATTTAAAAAAATGTTAATTAAAAAATTATTGCATTAATTATAATTCTTTCTGAAACATGACATAATAAATTAAAAGTATTTAAATGAATAAAAATTGAACAAAATACTGATCAGATAAAAAATTTCATAAATATGCAAGTCTGTTATGTTTAAATGGAAATAAATTTCTTAAAAGCCTGTCTGGCAAATCACATTTCGACGCAGTCCTTACAAGGAGATTAAATTTGATTAATGATCCTTTTTCTTATGCCTTTAAATATATTCAGAATTTCTCATTTTGCTAAAAGAAATTAAGGAGCTACAAAAAAAGCTTTATATAATATGGCTAGCATTTAAATGCGTGTGACAGGTGGAAGACTGGCATGTCAGACTTTAAGAACTAATAGACTAACTAATTAAGTAATCTTTATGACTCCCCTTCCATTTAAACAATTATATGACAAGTTGCCAACAAATAACTCATGGCAAAAAACGGTCATGAAATAACTTTGATTGTTTGGATATCTGGAGTTTGTTTAATTGGAGATAATTTATATTTTTTAAATAAATGTTTTCATGCCAACTCATTCATTTATTAAAAAATTAGTATTTCTTTACTAAATCATCTGAGGCTAAACGCAGATGTATAATATTTATACTAAGATATGCAAAACTAATCTTAATTAAATTTCTTTCCATACTTTAAAATGAAATCCCTGTTAAGATCACAATAAATTTGTCTGGTAATATATGTTTTACATAGTTAATTTTTACAATGTTGCAAACAATTCATTTATTAATAAAAATGTATTGCGATCATGAATGTAACCTACTTCAATATCACGCATTCAATATCAAACTTACAATACTACACATTCAATATCAAACTTATTTACATGTTAATTTTTTTCTATTAAAAGCTGATGATTTTTTTTAATTAGTATCATCTAATTTAAGACATATTATGAAAAATCCTATATTAATTGTTTGTAGCAAATTATGCTGTAGTGCACTTACTTTATAACCAAGTATGTCTTCTGCAGTTTGAATAGAAAGACTGCAAAATTCAAGACTGCCTGTGTGGTCAGAGAGGGTGATAGATAATCTAGAGAAATATGTGAACATTTTAATAGCTTGGATAATTGAAGAATCTGGGATAAAATGTTGTAAACACTATTATAAATGTATGCAGTGCTTTTTAATTTTATGTTACTTCACTCAATTATTTAGAAAAATATTGGCACCACTTCTTTTATTTCATAAACTAACATAGCACAGTAATTTATATATAAATATTCAACTGGTAAGTAGTATGCTGTTTAGAAATGGCTGATTCAAAGACAGCATATGGACTGCAATGGTATAATAGAAACAAAGATTTTTTTAAACTAAAAATATTCTTCACTTGTGTTAATATTATTAGTTGGCAGGATAAAAGAATATCTTTTGACACTTCATTCAAAATTAGAATCAACCAAATTACTTCACCTATATTCAACCATACTGCTGCTACCATCAAAATTTAGATCCCCACCAGCACAAGTAGGGTTTCCACATATAAAACTAGTACTTTCCTGAACAGGTTTTTTGCATCTGGAACTATAATGAAAAATCAACATCAATTCTAGCTGTAAACCAAAACCATTTATTTTGCTTATATTATACTGATATAAATTTTTTTTATAGATATGCATTTAAACCAGGGTTTCCCAACCTTATCTGTACTCTGCATCTCCTACAAATTGAATGACAGTGTCTCACACCCCCTACAAAATTAACAATGCATTTCAAACGAAATAAAAATGGACTTTTAATTTTTTTATTGAATTACAAAGAGAATAATAGAACTAAGAAAATAAATTTTATTTATTACATTTAATAATAATTTAATTAAGAAATTGAAAAATTTTAAATCATTTATACCATAACTGGTTGGGAAGCCCCGATTTAAGCTTTTATCTTTAAAGCTTTAAAAAAATTGATGTCATGATGAGAATAACCCACAACTTGAGAGGAGAAAAAAAAGACCCTACCAAACTAATAAAATTCTTGCATGTGATTATAATACGTACCAAATATCTCTAAAAATTGTTTTGTTGTCACTGTCACAATCAAATTGTGAGAGAAAAGCATATGTAACTGCATAGTCTGTATTTTCACCACTGTTGTCAAGAGTTCTCTGAAGATCTTTGATCTGTCTCACAGTCAACACTTTAGTAATTGTTTCAACTATGGACATTGGAAATGAAATAATTAACTGAATAGCATAAATTTTTAAAACCATCAAAAATAATCTAAGTTTCACATAAAAAATCTTCCTAAGAATACAATCAATATGAGGAGAGCTGCAGCATGTAAGAGGAAAAATTCTTCAAGAATGTAATTTTTATCAGGCAAATAACTTCGTATAACATAAGTCACATTTGCTTTAATTGCATTACTTATTGAATGAATTTAAATAAGCTACCTACCATCTGGATCCTTGCTGGTGCCAGCAAATTGATCCATTTCATTTGTAGAGCAGAACATTGAACTTTGACTCCTAGTAAACTCTTGTAAACTTAAAGCTTCATAAGTGTCTGCAACATTATAAAATTTTATTTTACAGATGAAATGTATTTATGGGTTATATCAGTGATTCCAAAAATGCACATAATTTTATGTTTAATTCATTGTAATGGGACACTAAATCTAGTTATAGCAGTTTTCAAAGCCCCTTCAAATTGTTATTATAAGCCCCTTGTGATCTTAAATAAAATGCTTTATTTTATTTTTAACTAATGCTTATTTTCTAAAAATTTATTTGCCATTTCGCAATGTCTTTGTTGGAATTTGACATAGGGCACCTTGGGAAAACATAGCTTCAAAAACGTTTGGGAATCACTGGGTTAGATTATTTGGCAACTCACAACATCCTTTCAATGCTATAGATAATAAATATTAAAGATTGTTCAATTAAATCAAATTTGAAGTTGTCAATTTTTAAAATTTATATTCAAACCCTGGGTTTTAGAAGATGTTTCATTTTTATTCCTCACCAGGAGATGTGGTGATTATAGTCTTTGAGTCTGTGTTTGCCACCATTGTTGAGCGAAAGTCATTGAAGCTAATTCTCACATCAGCAGCAAAAACAACTGGGAGAACAATATAATAGCAGCTACAGTGTTTGCTTTGTTATAAGATATAAAATACACAGGCATAATTTTAAACATGTTTTCTTACCTGTAACAAATAAATATTAAATGATTCAAGTCAGTATACCCGATCTATGCTTATTAAGAAATGTGCACCAGAAACAAATGTACAAAAAAATCAAACATATTCTCATAAAAAATTAATATAACCGACAAATATTTGAACCAAATAATGAATTTTAAAATTTGTTTTTAGCATGAATAACTACACTTTGTACAAGACAAACATAATTGACAAAAATTTAGAATCATTAACTTTTATTATTTAGGTGTTTTGTGATAAGAATTTGAAAAGTTTTTATCTTGAGTAATTTTTTTCTTCTTTATATGACAATATTTTAGCATCATTCAATCTAAGGGTAAATACTTGTGCATACTGGTTTATATCTGAAGAGCTTGACAGTATTATGTTTTTAACAAAAATCATATTAACATGAATTATGCTGGATTTAGATGATGATATTTTAAAATACATCTTTTAATTTAGTTGACAGCTTTTAACTATTATGAAATGTATCTTGATTTACTTTAACAATTATGACAGCTTTTAACTATTATGAAATGTATCTTGATTTACTTTAACAACTACAAGAATTTTAGATAGAATTTATATCTAACCTGTCTCCATGGGTACCCACTTCTCAGTCAGTTGTACACAGTTTCCCCAGCTGAAATTCAGTTATTTAATTTAAATATATATCAGAAAAATTACATTCATCTTTTAAATAGTGAAATTAATTTAATTTATAGAAAACTGTTTGACTTATCAATTGCATGAATAAAAGTTTTAGTATTGTCACATTTTCTTATTCACAAACAAAGTTTACAAAGTTAAAAATGTCCTTTCTTTTAACAACTTTGATTTTAACCTTAACGAACATTTTAGAACATCAGATGTTACTCACAGAGTGAGGCTAAATGAAGGACATGTCTCATCACACACAACTATATCTGCCTTTGTTAAATTTACTCCAGTTTTTGAAACAAAGTTTCTGACTGGCCATATCTGAAGTCAAATAATTTTATAATCATGATCAATTTAAAACGTAATTTAAAAATATATAAACACATAGAATGGACTTAAAAAATAATGAAGGAAAATTAGTCAGAGATATATTTCAAATTTAAGTATTTTATCACATTATATTTACCTTTTTTACTGCTGCAAGAATGTTGATGTGTTCCCCATTTAGACTCATTCCATTTGCTTGAATATCCTCAAGAGTGTAAAAGTCATTATTAGCTTTTGTGGGAATATTCAAGAACTGTAAGTAGTGGGAGACATCTGGTCCATGATAAACTCCAATTGTTCCTTGATTGTCACTTAAATTTAACTGGCATAAACTAGAGGAGAAAAGAGTTATTCTTTTAAAACTAACAAAACATTATTGGTAACGTAAGTTTTAGATTCCCAAGTTGTGACATCATGCCTGCATGCAGCCCGCATTTATTAGTTAGTCCCTAAAAGAATTTAAGATTTTGAGGGAAAAAAAACAAAATCTTCACATATAGATAAATTTCAAAAAGATTTCCTTCTAAATTTTTTAGCTCTCTTCAATGTGGCTGCTCCAAGCTAACCTGATTTTTGGCATTTTTGACATACAAACATCCTAGAATGACATTCAGCATACATAATTATGAGATTTTTAACACCCTGTTCATATAACTGGACCAAAATGCAAAGCAAATTTTATTTTTCCTCTTCAATAATACTAATCGTATTTGTTGTCATGCAGATACATGTATATTATGACAAAAGCACTAAAATTTAAGTTCACATTAAGGGACCTTCCCATTTTTACATAGTTTTGAGCCTCATCCATTGTTTAAAAACCTATTAAGGCATTCACCTTTAAAATCACTACTATAAAAAAACCTGCCAAACTTGGCAACAGAGTCAAGTATGGGTATTCATTAGTTATTGAGCACCGAATATTGCTTTTTGCGGGGCAGTATGTATTGTGTGTTAGTTTAGTTAATGAACGCTTTTTCCACCTTTATGGCTTGTGATGTACTGACATATTTTTATGGTAACTGTGACGTCATGTCTATATTCTGTCTTTGGCATAAGTGCTATTTGATTTGGTAGTTTATGAGAGAACTTTGTGGAGAAAGGTTGTATTATATTCTTCCATTGATAGCGAGCTGCATTATACATGTGTTTGATTCACTGAACAGCCAGATATACATGTTTCTGGATTAAAGTTTACAGAATTTGATTTAAAAAAACAATATTTAAAAAAACAATCATGAACTGATGGCAACAAACGGCAATGTGTGAGCTTCCCATCTGCTTAAGTTACTTGACAAAACATTCCTTCAAGTAGCACACTTTATAAGAATAAAACTTAGTGCCAAACAATGGTGGCGTCTATGCCTGAACTACCCATCTACTAATATTACTTGACAAAACATGCATTCAAATTCAATTAACACACTTCATATAAATCCCAATTAGTGCCTATTGAACACAGCCTTACTGCATAGCTAGAAAATTATTATTTGTGATTCAAATAAGGGTAATTAAATTTATTTTATTATAATATAAAAATGAATCTTTTATATAACCAATTAAACGTATCACCTTGGTGTCCATGGTTTGAATTTATCATCTGAAGGATTATTAGACTTGGCCTGTACGTTAGCTCCCCTGATATCAACTGTAGATGGAAAAAAACAACGGAAATTAGAGAAAGAAGTTGTTTAAAAAATAAGGTAGAAAATAATGAAAGAGGTATCTTACCAACAATTCCAATATTTAAGTCAGGAGCTGTGGATTGTATAAACTCTTCACCACACCAACAAGTCACATTTATAAATGAGGAAGGCGAATCGCGCACTGTGAGGGCCAGAAGGTGCCTTTCATTACCACCTGGAGGATAATATATTGTTGTTAGCAAAGTTAATCCATTTATAACATGACCTTGCATTATTATTATAAGTTTAATATGTAATGACATAATAAATAAATAGCAAAAAATTTCTGGTACAACAAATTCAGTTTTATGCAGTATAAAAGACCATATATTTAATTATTCATCAACCTTTCTTGCTTAAAAATGTTTTGGGGCCATCCTTAGCAATTATCACTCCAATGATTGACTGAAATAGAAGTTATAATTTAATTTTATTCAGATACTAAATACCAACTTGAATATTAAAAGCAAATTATATATTTTCAAAATTCTAGCATTTTAAAAGCTAATTTTGTAATCATATTTGATCCTTTAAAAAGATTTCAATCTCCTTAAAGACAGTTTAGGAAAGTGGAATATGATTAGTACTCAATATAAGTAGTTGCAACTAAAATGTCATGGATCAATAATTTTATTTAACAGTACATATCAAAATTGTATAATTTATTTGCATGTTTTTAATAAAGAGTCAAGAATTTTAAATTATCATTTTTCAAAACTTATTTTATTTAGAAGTAAAAAGACATTAATTACTTTTTAAAATATGTATCTTTCTAATCATTATAGTTTAAGCATTATATAATAATATAATAATTTATCAGTTATAATATAAGTAATTGAAAGACAGGGAGAAAGAAGACAATTCATTCAAACTATTCTTAATTGGACAATAAAATTGTAAAGGTTGGATGCTTATTTCCCTTAAAATACTTAATTGTCTGTATGATAAATAATTTGTGAAAAGCTAACTAATCCAATATTGTAATTGCTATAAAACTATTCTCTTTTCAGATTATATCTTTATAAGCTAGATGGCATGATTAAGGAATAATAAAGTACTTACAACAGATTGCAAATGAGTTGCAATAGCATTTATTTGGTGATATCCTTTAGGAGGTGATCTTAAATCCTGCCCTGAATGGGATTCAAAAGGAATTTTTTGGGGAAAAGATTTTTTGCTGGTACCATCAAATGCTTTCACTCTTGGAGCTGCATTATATTTGTTTCCAGATGGTTCATTATCACATGATACATTAAAGTCATCGAATCTGCTCAGCCAAGCCATTTCAAAGTACTTGTATACCTAAATGAAATATGGATAAAATATTATGATTTTTGTAAGATTTAACATAGGCCTATTGATTACTAGTATTAGTAGGCCTATATTTTATGTGTATTCTTTACCATACTTCTGTTTTATTGTTTTCTTAACTGAGGGGCAGTGTAAAGTAAAGGACTGTCCAGTGTTTCAAATGACTAAAGACTATAATATTACTAATATTATTATATACTACTAATTTAATAATATTTTACTATACTAATATTATTTTACTTACAAATATTTAGTACATAATATTATTAATAGTATAAATTATATTGTAATAGACTATTAACTGTCACACAGTCACTGTCATAGTCATGATATAGACATAGACTATCATAGACATAGTCATGATGATATAATATATAGTCTCATAGTATAGTTAAATAAACAGTAAGTACTGTAAAAAAGTAAGGGTAAGACAAGAGTACGACTGCGAGTATTCTTCACCTACAAATACTAGTAGTAGTAGGCTTAATTACTGTACTTTGACTTCGTTACTGTATTTTGTAAACTAATTTAGAGTATTTCTAATTACATTGCTATTACTATTAATTACTATGAGTATTACATATACTAGTATCAGATTTGACATCCCAAATGTTGAGGCCAACCCCAGGATATCAGACCACAGCATACCATATTTTGAATTTCAGGTCAACACACTAATAAAGAAACAGATCATAAGAGACTTTCCAATTTATGCCAAGGCTGACTGGGATAGCCTGAGGAGTGCAACGACAGAGCTGAGCTCAAACATGCAGGAGATTCATGGTACAGCGACAACAGAAGAGCTGTGGGTGAAGTTTAAAGCAACAATTACTGATGCAGTGAATACCACACAAGACCACCAAACCTAAGATAAATCAGCCATGGGTCACGGCTGAAATCCGTAGGCCTATCCACAGGAGAGACCGCAAATACAAGCGATTGAAGAAAAATGGCTCGGTTGAACTGAGAGAGGAGGGACTGAGGCCCGGCCGAACCATCCAACGCTTATTGCGTAGATCTTATTGGAACTAGCTGAACGGCATCTTCTCAGAGGAAGACACCTCGACCAAGGGTGTCAAGAACAAGAGCTTCTGGAGCACTGGAGTTTCCCCCCTGAGGTGGGATGGCCATTTGACATCTGACCCAAAAGCACAGGCTGACATACTCGATCAGCAGTTCCAGTCGGTCTTTGGTAACAGTAGAGAGTACTTGGAGGCTGAGTTCCTTCTGAAGACCTACAGGATGAACAGAGCCTACCCTGTCAAGGAAGATATCCAGATATCAGAGCAGGGTGTGCTTGCCCTTCTCCAAAACATTAACCCCCACAAAGCATGTGGTCCTGACAACATTAAACCACGAGTGCTCAAAGAATTAGCCAAAGAAATCGCTCCTACACTGACAATCCTCTTTCAATCGTCGCTATGCACAGGCAATTTTCCAGCAGACTGGAGAGCAGCTCATGTCACTCCAATCTACAAGAAAGGGGAGCATTCCGACCCTGCCAACTATCGTCCGATACCCCTCACCAGTGTGGTAAACAAACTGTTGGAGCACATAATCGTAAGCACAGTCATGAAGCATCTTGAAAGCCAAAATATACTCAATGACTGTCAACATGGCTTCCGAGTCAATAGATCATGTGAGACCCAGCTCCTTGAATTTGTAAAAGACTTGATGACCAATCTGGAGAACAGCAAGCAAACTGACGTGCTGCTGATGGACTTCTCAAAGGCATTTGACCGTGTCAATCATAGTTTGCTTATACACAAGCTTCAGAGATATGGGATCCAAGGCACTACATAACAAGGATCTCTAGCTTCCTCAGCAACAGATGACAAGCAGTAGTGGTGAAAGGTACAAGCTCCTCCTTTGTCGATGTGAAGTCAGGGGTCCCCCAGGGATCTGTGCTAGGCCCCTGTTTGTTCCTAGCATGCATTAATGACCTAACCGAGAACTGACATCCCAAGCAAGACTGTTCGCAGATGACACAGCAGTGTATAGGGTAATCGCAAAAGATCTGACCAGGACCAGCTACAACAGGATCTCAATCGGTTAGCTGAGTGGGAGATGAGCTGGGACATGGAATTTCATCCTACCAAGTGCCAGACACTGTCAGTCTCTATAAGTTGTACTCCTTTACACTACCAATACGAACTGCATGGCCATATACTTGAGCCAGTTTCCTCCGTAAAGTACCTGGGTGTTACCATTCAAAGAGAGGTCCGCTGGGATGAGCATATTAACAATGTGTGCAACCAGGCAAGCAAGACCCTGGGGTTCTTAAGGCATAATTTACAGATGGGCAATTCCTGTGTGAAAGAAAGAGCCTATAAAGCCTTTTTCCGTCTGGTTTTAGATTGTGCATCTTCAGTCTGGGACTTATTTACCCAGAAGAGCATTGACAGGTTGGAGGAGGTCCAGCAACGGGTAGCACGCTTTGTCCTGAACCGCTACAGGAATACCTCTAGTGTTGGCAGCATGCTGGAAACGCCAGGCTGGTAACCATTGGAGGAACGACGACGACTATCCAGGCTCTCCATAATGTACAAGATACATGATGGGCTGCCAAAGATAACCAGGGACTGGAACAAGCTTTCAAAAGGAACAGTTGAGGCGACAATACTTGGACTTGACACATATGCGTCTATTGCCTCAGGCTCAGGCCTTCCAACCCCCAGTGCATACCCTCACACAGTATCCCTTACAACCAGTGAAATATCCTCATCAACACCAGGCACAGAAACCTTGCAAATCCCCCCTACATGCATAGGAGCAAAAATGATCATGATCAATAAATTGATCGTGGGCCCTTAATTTTTTAATATATAGAAGAAGACTAATCTAATCACTAGGCTGGTTGAACTCCGTTGCCGTTGGCAATAGACTAGTGTATACACTAGTAAATCTAGAAGTAGTAGCAGTCTTGTACTGTAGTAGAGTTAAGTAGAGTAGAGGCAGAGGCCTGTAGTTGAAGCCTGTACTCAGCACTGTACTGTAGTCGTTTTTATGTCGTAGTGCTGTAGTCGTAAAGGCCATGATGGTACAATGGTCCTGGTCCTGGTAGAGGAGAGTAGACTGAGACTCGGAATTCGGCTTAGGTTAAACTTAAAATTAGTTAGAAAAAATAATTGAAACTGAAAGAAAAGTTTACCAATTTTAAAAAAAATTAGTTAAATTTAATTGTGTTATTTAATGTATGTGTTTCTTTAAAAAAAAAAACACAGTAAGAAATCAGCCTTTTTAAAAGTATTTAAAGTTGGCATTGATGATTGAAATTGTCTGCTGAAAACTTTTTCATTTTTTTTAAAAAACTTTTTTATTGAAGACTTCTGTCTATAAAATTAAATAACCTGCCCCCGTGCGTGTTCAGTTTGAGACAAAAAGATAAATATGCTAATAATATTTGAAACAGGCGGAAAGCAAAAGTGCTTTACTTTCAACCAAAATATAAATTAAGAGCATACTAATTTATAATTAGTAGGCTACATGGACGTGTTTCATGGCTAATTAAGTCAAAATAACATGGCTAAAAACAAGTGTCAGCAAACTACAAAACGCTATGTGAATGTGAAAAAAAACTCTTCAGAAAAAATCTTCACTTGCGAGATGAAAATAGGATATTAATGCAAGCAGCTGGTAAAACGAGAAGGAACCACACTACGGGCCAGTAAATAGTCAAATTAGTAGTACCATACTATTATAGCTTGTGTCTTAACCTAATTTTACTTGAAGAGCTAAAGCGTCAACCACTCCTCTCCCCCTTCTTGTTTTGATATTGACCTCACCGATTAAATGTGTAGCGCTGTACCACCACAGACCTTCCATTGATTGGGAAAATGTTGTTTACGTTTGAATACATTCTAATTTGTTCTAAAGAATGCAACAGGTGATGCAATTTCTAGATTTCTTTTTCTGGGGGGTTTCAACTTTCTCCCTATAAACAAGGTGGCAACTCTCCCAAGAAATTGAACGATTTTTGCTATTTTTCACAGACATTTACGAGACGAAACATACTTAAATTGTACCTTTTATGTGTGTGATTTAATATATTTGTATCTTTCGAGGATTGTACTTTTTCACCTCTCCATTGTCCTGTATGCCTGCGAATCCTAGACATTAACAGCCGTTCTTGAAAGGAAAATAAAGGCGACGGAGATAAGATGCTTCAGAAGCATTTTTGGTATCTGCTATAGGGACCATATCTCCAATGATACAGTGAAAGAAAGGGTTCGTCAGGAAATTGGGGAGTACGATGACCTACTGGTGACTGTGAAAAAACGCAAATTACAATGGTACGGCCACGTAACAAGGAAACAAGAGCTTGCCCAAGAAATATTGCAGGGCACCACAAGAGGAGGGAGAAGAAGAGGAAGACAAAGAAAAAGGTGGGAGGATAACATCAAAGTGTGGACACGACTAACACTGGGCGATGCAGTGTGTAGTGCTGAAGACAGAGAGGAATGGAGGAGGATGGTTCACATGTCATCTGTGGCGCCCCAACGGTCCAAGGACTAAGGGACATGAGGATGAAGAGGACTTTTTCACTTGTGCTGTAAGTTTGGTATTGTTTTAATTTTATTTCTGTCCATTTGATTTTTGTATTTCTTATGTAAATTTAGAAGTATAGTTTAACTGAATATAGTTATTAACACAAGATTTGTTATCCTTTTTCTTGTAACCGGTTTTCAGTCCCTTGTTACATTTTCAACAAAGGAGCTAAATCTTAACGCAGTTTAATTTTTTTTTTTTAAATAATGGTATGTGACACCCTACCCACCAATCAGCAGACACTCCGTTTTCCAGGGCCAGAAGAAGACCTTGTCGGTGGCGGATCAGCAGTGGATACCCTCAAAGTCCACAATATGAACCTTCAAAAGGCATCACAATTTGCTGCAGATCACCAATGGTACCTCACCCGCAGTCCCGTATTAATCCATTGCAGGGTCCCTAAGCTTCCAGTTTCTATGGGCCCCTCGAAAATGTGGAATTTTCGATTACATATCATTGCCATGACATGGCTAAAGGTTGCATGGGCCTCTGCTCTTGGTGGGCCCTAGGCTTCAGCCTAGTCAACCTTATGGATAATACGGTCCTGCCTCCACACGACGCCTCCCTAGCAGAAGTGGATAGAGAAAAAAGAAGATACTCACTCTAACCTCCCACTCATACTAATGTCCCTTACACTCTAATCTACCCAACACTTAGCCACTCTAACCTCTCCTCCATTGTTATAGGAAGGGTGGGACTGCACTTTTCTCCATATATTAAGGGGCACCATTTTCGGCCAACTGTAGAGCTTGGTCCACCCCCGGTTTGCACTTACCATAAATACGCCGCTTCTCCCCTTATTCTACCATAACCACTCCAGTCTCACTCTTTGATATTTATCTTTATCACTCACCCTCCCTTTTCATATTCACCACCCCTCCTCCCCACAAGTTCTCCCCAAACGTTACCACACAACCACTTCTTCAAAAATAACATGTCTACTAACTAGTCTTCCCCACCAGTGGCATAGTAGGAAGGGGCGGTTGTGGAGGGGGTGGTCCGGCCCAGGTGGCACTTTTTTTTTCTTTATATGAGATACAGCATTTTCTTTCACTGCCGAGTTGTTTTTTTCGTGGTAAGTGGGGGGAGGGGGGGCAGGCTAACACTACAGCTTCCCACCCAAACGTTCAATATTCATTTGCTTCCGAGCCTCCTTTGATTTGTCCTGATCTCTCAAATGCCCCAGAAAATTATATGTAGATGAGCCGGAGCTGAGAACTCCAAAACAATTCATGCTAGTATGCTTTACTTAATTTTGGATACTTTTCACATGGTGCACAACACTGATCAAGACCGTTGTTGCCAAAACATTTTGTTTCTTTCATTAAAGAATTCCTAATGCTAGAATAGTAAACATGGCAGATTCAACCAGTGATTCTGGTTCTGTGCATAGCTTGTTGACGGAGCAAAGTTCGGAAAAGAAATCAGATAATAATAATAATAGATATTATGCTCTGTATTCGTTTTATCCAAATAACAGGTTAGGTCTTAATTAATTTCCATCTGTATAGGAAGAGTCGATTTTCAAAATGCTGTATCTCCATTTTTGGCGTTTTGAGATAATCCGAAATCGACTTTTTTATGCTACACAATGACAATGATGGCTCAAATTTCCGGAAAAGTAAATGCTTATTTAGGTATATATTCAAAATATAAGTTAGATTATGATGAACATTGAAATTTAGGTTAATTAAAATGTATTTGTTTACTTGGTTGAATTTCTTATTTCATTTCAAAATGCTGTGTATCCACCTATAAATTAGTGACAAAATGCTGTATATCCATTTTGTTAAATTATTAGCATAACATTATTCCAAGTAGCAAATAATTCAAGTTGTTTATAGATTACAAACCACGTACATAACAAAATAAGGCTGTTTCAGATTTAGCGGCCCACATTGACTTTGTTAAGGTTAGGCATAGGGATTGATTTAGGGTTCGGGTTAGGCTTAGGGATAGATTTAGGGTTTGGGTTAGGCATAGGGATAGATTTAGGGTTCGGGTTAGGCATAGGGATCGATTTAGGGTTCAGGTTAGGCATAGGGATCGATTTAAGACGTAAAAGTGCGTGTATGGAAATAAATGCTGGCCGCGTTCTCTGAATTTACCCAAAATAAAATTAAATTGTATCATATACATTGTATAATTGTGTATGATAAATGCTTTTATTGATATATTAATATTAATTAACAGAACAGTATTATAAATGCTGGGAAGTCGCTTGTAATAGTGTAATGTTTAGAGTGCTATAAGTTTGCATGATTTGTTTTTATAAATCTTAATTCTAAACAAAAGTAAACAAGATAATGTTCAATTAAAAAATCATTTTATTTGAATTTAGAGCAGCGACACAATAGAAAATGATGAAGTGTCTGATTCGGAGTGTGCATCATCTTCAATAGCAGTTTGGTTTTGTTCCAGGGAAAGTTGATGCTTTTTATTTACATTCAAATCAGAGGGCAAATATTTCAGTCCTTGAGCACCCTTTCTTCTGTAATGGCTGGATCTGTATGTAAAAGATTGAATGTGTAATAAATGACATAGCTAACTCTGTAAAGAAACTTTTTATTTTCATTTCCTTAACACTTCTGATGTGTAGTAACCATAACCATAATAATAATAATGTAAAATGAAATGTAGTGTTTTTTTAATAAAGTTACCGGTAACTCACCTTGCAGAACCATGTATCATGATTACACGTAACCGAGGGGATCTTTCCTCCGCTTGATTGACAAAATGATTTGTCTTTTTCTTGTGTTGAGCTTTTTTCTTTCTTTTTGGAGATTTTATAGTACAAACAACTCTTTCATCCAGGCCGTCATTATGCACCGTGTTTGTTGTTGTTTCGCGTGGTGATGTTTAGTGCGCATGCGCAGAATGTCGCAGAATAGCTTGCCAATCACACGGATTCCTCCAAAAATATATGCAGCATTTTGATAATAAAAAAAAAATTCACACCGCGTTTTGAAAATAAAATCATTTTTAGACATAGAATAATATAGTATTAAAATGTGTTTTGTAGATAAACTTTAACATGTCCTAAAGGAACCTGGTTTGCTCTACAAGAATGTACAGTTATCTCATTTTTTTCAAAATGGCGGATACCGCGTTTTGAAAATCGACTCTTCATATCCTTCCACTCGATTAGACCTATAAATTTTTTGGGTATTGTCATTGTTATTAAAATAAAATTAAAATTACACATTCTCATTATTACTATTACCTATTCGGATTTGCACCCGGGTATTAGGAATGAGAGGTTGGTATTAAAAAACTATTTAGAATATTATTGTTGGGTTTGTAAGACAAAATGAGGTATCAAATGAAAGATAATTGAATGGACTATATGTTTGTAAACTTACTTCTTCAGTTTAACTAAAATAAGCTACCACAAATAACATCCGAATGGGATTTAGTCTAAAGGGACCAAGGTCCGAATAGCAGCTATGCACCATCCTCTCCAATCAAATCATAATCTTTCGGTCATTGAGAATTTCACATACCTGGGATCCAATATTTCTAGTTCTCTCTCCGTTGATGAAGAGATAAATGTCAGGATTGCAAAAGCAGCAGCAACTAAGGCTAAACTGAATAAGCGGGTGTGGAATAATATCAATCTAACTGATAAAACAAAAATAAGTGTCTATCAGGCATGTTTGCTTAGTACGCTCCTATATGGCAGCGAAGTGTGGACCATATATACCTGTCAGGAGCGGTAACTCAACAGCTTCCATCAAAGATGTCTACATAGCATTTTACGCATTCGATGGCAGGACAAGGTGCCTAACACGGAGGTCTTGGAACATGCACAAATGTTTAGCAAGGGTTTGCGAAATAGATGTGTTTTCTATTCGGTTTTGAGAGCCTCAAGTGTCTGGCTGTTTCTGGGAGCGTCAGGAAGTGTGTTCCAAATTGTTGGGCCATCAAATGTGAAAGTGCGCCTTCCGTAAGTCTCAAAGCGAACACATGGTATCAAGAGTTTGCTACTATCGGATGAGCAGAGTTGTCTAGTGGGTACATAAGTCGTCATGAGCGCTTTGAGATAGGACGGTGCCAGGTCATGCAAGCAGCGGTAGCACAGAGTTGCAATTTTGTACTCTATGCGAGCTCGGACCGGCAGCCAATGCAGCTCTCTCAGAAGTGTTTTAGCATGGTCAAATTTGCGTTTGCGAAGAACAATGCGAGCCGCATTATTCTGTGCTTTTTTATTTTTATCCAGGAGCGGAGCTGGAAGACCCACCATGAGAGCATTGCAGTAGTCCATGTGTGATTGCACGAATGCAGACATCAGCCTCTTTGATGCATCAAACGTTAAGAGAGGTCTGATATGACTAATTCTGTGCAGCTCTAGAAAAATCGCCTTGCAAAGCATGTTAATGGGATTTTCCATAGTTAGTGTTGTATCCAAATAGACACCTAGGTTTTGCACTGTTTGAACAAACTCAATCTCTATACCTGAGAGAGTAAGGGATGGTGTGTTATTTACAGATTTTAGCTTTTGAGCGGTAGCAATCGGGATCAGCTCAGTCTTTTCATCGTTCAATTTGAGCTTGTTTATGTTCATCCAGTGCTTAACTGACTCCACTGTCTTCTGTGTCATACTAAGAAGCTGAGGGAACTGAGAGGGGATCACAGACTGCTGAAGTTGGGTATCATCCGCGAACATGGGATATTAGCATGTCAAACTGCTTGATCACTGCACCCAGGGGCTGAACGTACATATTAAAAAGCACCGGGCCTAGGACCGAGCCCTGGGGTACTCCGAATTTGATAATAGATTGCTTCGATGTCAAGCTGTTTGCGATAACTAATTGGACCCGATTTGTCTGATACGAGCGGAACCATCTCAGGAGATGTAAGGAGAATGGAGGAAGGCCGTATCCCAATGATGCTGCTGCATGGAGAGTTGGCAGAAGGGACAAGACCTACCGGACGGCCACGCCTCAGATTTATGGACGTTTGCAAAATTAGCATGAAGGAAGCCAATATTGAAAACAACGAATGGGAGCTCATTGCCGAACAATGTTCCAGCTGGCAAACTGCAGTGTATGAAGGAGTAAAAAAGGAAGAAGGTATGTGAAACGAGGCCCCTGCAACAAAAAGAACAATAAGGATAGTCAAAATCTTACCAGGAATCAATATTCTCCTGCGAGAAATTCAATCGAGATTATCATTCTAGGATTGGCCTAGTGAGCCACTCATCGAAGTGTAGGACTACATAGCTACTCCATTGTCTCGCGAAGACGGAAGGATGCCATATACACTGCATAAGGCCCACTGTGGGTATTCCTCTATGATTGATATATTTGCAAAATTTCAAAAAGTTACAATCATAAACCACATAAACCCCCCAAAAAATTATTATTCATAAACCATTATGACATGAAACACAATTAAATGACGTTAAGTCAACATATTCCAGTGTTACCTAATGTGGCATACCCTCAAAGGGAAACAATTTGTAAATTATCTAACAAATAATAGTCTATGGGATGGTGGTGAATGAAGGGGGTGGGGGATTATTCTTCATGAATTCCTACTATAGGAAGTTTTCAAATTGGTTTTATAGATCATATTTCATCATTTTTGTAACATACAGACAAGTGGGTAACTTAAAGATTTTACCTTACCAATTAATACCATGATAACGGGCTGATTACTTTTTTATATTTCTAATAATAAACTACTAAATTTCATAAGTTTGAGTGAGTTAAATATGTAAATATGATATAAAACAAGCTCTAAATGCAAACTGTGTATGCATAATTATAAAAATATATATCTTTTTTGTAGGCTGAGTGGTGAGGATAGATTTATACCTTCTGATGTTGGTGATCAATTAGATGGTAGCTTAAGGTAAGCTATCTATTATCTATTCATGTCTTATTTTTAAATCCAATTACTTATGTCAAATAATAAATCAGCTATAAGTTTTTAAAACAAAATATAGTTAATTTCAAAATAAAATTTACTAAGCTACGCATAAAGTAACTGTAATTTATGTATATCTATATCTATCTATATATAGAGAGAGATATATAGATATATCAATAATAATAGAAAACAAAAATGACATTTTAAATAAGTTAATGATTGTAGACATGGGAACAGTATGAAAATAATGCTTATTGGGATAAAATCATAGTACATTTAAAACTAACATACCTCATTGAATATGATTTATAAAATTAGCTACAAGTAAGTTCAAAGATTTATAAAATATAAAAAGGAATTAAAATAAATGTTTAAGACTCTATTTGTTTTTCAGTTTGAACATTGTAGCCACCAACCTAACAGCTACTACAGAAACAGACCTCAGGAGATCACTGGCACATAAATTATCAAAAAGTGTCCTCAAAGCAGGAGATCCCATCTTTTTTTCTGTTGGTTTGCAGTAAGTATGTTAACATTTTAACACAAATACTTTTTCAATTACAGTACCAAGAATAAAATATGTGACTGGAGTATGCAGGGGGGCCAAAGAATTTAAGATGCCAACAGAACAAGGAAATGTAAATGGTTTTAAAGTACCTGATAGACACCTACAAAATATTTTAAAATTCAAAATATATTTATCTGATATTAATTTATTTTACAAATTGTTGGATTTTTTTTTCTTTTCAGCTCAACACCTAACTCATCAACGTCTGCTGCTTGCTCTTACTGCTTGATTGAAGCAGGTTCAGATAGTTTTGACTTTGACCTTGTTGCCAGTGATGGGAAGTCAGGCGATTGCAAAGAAAATGAGCAGCAGCAATTTGTTGTCTGCTTTGTATCATTGCAAGACAGCTCTTTGGACTTGTATCCTAATTTTATGTTACTTCCATGAAAACTTGTAGCCCCAAAAAATAATTAAGATATTAGACTTTTTTTTTAATTGAAACAATAAAATCACATTACCTTATAAAAATTAGTTAGTTTTAAATTTTGAAAAAATGCATCTTAATACTGATGTGCACTCAATTTCTATTTTGATTGTCTTTGCAAAAACACTTAAATCAACTACAGATTTCGATCAGAATTTGAAAGCTATATTAATGGTTTGATTCCACTCCTCGATAAAGAGGTGAGGTTTTTTTAATATTTATATTATATTGCAACAACACTAGTTTGTCTTGCATTTGTATTTTTGCCAACAATTTTTTTTCTTTTTGCTGAGTGTTTGTATTTAAAAACCTATTTTTATAATGTTTAAAAATGATTCCTTTTTTGTTTAATTTATCATTACATTCCACACTGAAATACAATAAAGACTTTTTGGATCGAACAACTGATAGCACTTATATGTCAATCTCCTGAAGTCAAGACCCTGTACAAAGTTCCCAAAGACAATTTACAACTAAAAAAATATAATTTGAAAAAAAAAATTAAATTAAAAATTTCATTATAATTGCTTTTGTGAGAAACTTAAAAAAATGTTAGCATAAAAACCATCTTTGTCCTTTTTATGATATCTGTATGGTTTTAAATATGATATCTGAATGGGTTTAAATACCAAACAACAGATGTCTGTAATAGTTTTTTTTCAACATAAAGAAAGGAAATGTGTCACCGTTATGCCTATTTCTACTGTCAACTTGCATCAATTTTACTATTAGGAATCACCTCTCATAGTCTGCATTTTGATGCGATGTAATTTCAGCTAATGCTTGATTACACTCTAAGGCAATTAGGAAATATGATCTTGTCACAGCTTGTTAGTTGGCTGGCTAATTAGGTCAATTTTTGTTTTAACTTTATTGCTAGGTTGTCTATGTCTAAATTTTAGCTTGTGTCAGTAAGTTTAACAAAAACATTCACAGCCATATGTTTTAGGGGGGGGGGGGGGGGGGGGAGAAGAAAAATTAACATTACCTATTAATATTCATTTAATCTAACTGCTGTAAGGACCAGCACTACTCACTAATTTATCAGAATAATCAAAATATTTTTAAAAATCCTACCCTCTTCAACTAAATTCAGTTTGTGTTTGAAATTTATGAAACTATAATTAATGGTAATGTAAATAATATTCTATTTAAATGAAGAAAAATAATATTTAACTGGTGTTGAAAGAATACTTACTTAACAAAATTCTCATTAACATTACCGGTACACAAAAATAAGCCGTAATTAATCAAATACCTTACGACAATTGCTATTTTAGTTTATTTCTCACAAAGGATTCCTCCTATAGAGACCTTAAGTCAGTTTGAACACACCAATCAGCTGCAAACTTCATACTTTCATTAAGTTTCATCTAAGGCTTACTGTGTTTGATGTGGTTCCCATAAGAGTTTTACCTTAAAATAAATATAAATTTCCCACCTTTCTTTTTTTTTATGAGTTAATGCTCCTCTTAATAAATAGTCCTAAACATTTTATGTTTTCATTTATATATGTTTTACCATAATTTTCTTCTTTCATCATGTTTTCGTGACAGATGAAGAGCTAAAACTTGTAAAATAGTTAGTATTTTGATATATGATTTGAAATATCTTTTCATTGGTTGAATGGCTAGTGTTATGGATTTCTAAAAGCATCTTGTACTTGTTAGCTGTTGACAAACATTACTTCATTATTTTTACCCATGTTTTCCACCCAGCCTCTTATGCAGCTCTCCTCCCCTCCAAGCAAACCTGATGCCTCTAACATTACATCTCTCCCTGCACCCAGTATACTCTCTGATCAGAAAGAGGTAATGAGGCTGTAATATGCCTCTGTGTTGAAGTCCAACTGCTAGTGAATTTTTAAAATTTTTATTAAATACTATTTTAATAATGAACACGACTGTTACATCAAACAGGCAAGAATTGTGAGTAAATTGAAATCAATGACTTGGGATAGTAAATTTCTGATATCATTACTTCATCCCTAAATTTTGAAATCCCTTTATGTGTTGTTTTCAAAAGTTTTCCATTTTAAATAGTAGACATTTTGGAAATAAAGAAACTTGGTAAAACATTTTATAATAAGACTTTTGGCATTCACTAAAATATTATTTTTTTCCTTGGCAAATTCCTATTTGGTTTCTTTATTTATGAGTTAAGTCATTAGTTGTGCTTAATGTTCTTAAAAACAATACCCTAAAATAGTAGTGTGGTAAGTTTTATGGCATGTATTAAGCATGAGATCATTTTGAGATTGCATGCTTAATTTTTTGCGTGGAAAGTCTACAAATTTGTTAGTTATAGTGAAATTTTAATAATTGTGGCTCTTTCAATAAAATATGGCTTGTAATAAAATTAATAACTTTCTGTTATAGATTTTAGAGAAAAATATTTTCAGGTCAAACTATTTATGAAATGTATTTGATAATTCAAGATAGATTAGTTATTTTATTTTATTTTTAAGTATTTTTAAATTTGTAACAAATTGCCCCTAACTCACTCTTAAGGCTTTTCTAATCAAATTTTACAAGAGACAAATGTTCATATATTTTTCTCCCTGGGAGCTGGGAATATTTTTTCAATTTATTCAGTGAATCCCAAACTTTAAATTTCAATTTCCATTAACTTATTGAATGAAAATTCATTTCCAGTTAAGTCAGCTGAGTACAAAAATCCACAGCTACCTGGAGCAGTGGCCAGTGCTTGTCGTGGGCTATCTTGCACGGACATTACAGTACTTTGGACCTGGAATCCAGCAACTTATTCACTCAGTAAACACTTGAAAAAATTAAAGTCAAATTATGTTTTAATCATCATTAATAGCGTGATCTTTGTACAGCCCTTAACAGATAATTTAAATTAATAATATTGGACCACAGAGTTTAAAGACTTGCATTTTAGATTTTTTTAGATGATCCAAATAAGGTTTTGAAACATATTGAAAGAACACTCAGATTTTTTTTAAAAACCTATTCCAGTGACATGTTTTTCAAATAGAAAATTAAATTTATTTATATATAAACGTCTTTAGTATTTCTGTCAATAAAAAAAAAAAATAAATAGTATAATATATAAATGTAAAATATAAAATTCTAATTGCTTGAAAAAAACAAAAAAAACTATTAATTATTTATGGACCTCAATAGGCTTTACTAAATGCAAGCCTTCAGATATCTGGTGCAACAGAGGTGCAAGAGGATGACATAAAAAGGTCTGTAGAAAGGGGGTGTAACTATTACTGTACTCAAAAGGGTTGACTATTTCATTTCACTTATATTCTCATTTTGTTCATGGCTTAGATTTATTACTGAATTTGTCTAATCCCAAAGATGAGTTGTGGCAATATCTTGGCTGCATAATTCTTTTTGATAATAGAAATTTGCTAATGCATTAATTTATCACTTACTGAATACGCCTTTTACTTTATTGTTGTGTTTCTGATTATCTTTCTTTACTGTATTGTTTGTTCTTTCTAAGATTCATCAGCTGTTGTAGCTTCTCAACACTTTATGAGCGACTTCAGTCAAACAGTGAATCAGTGATAGGAAGTGCTGACACGAGTGACTTCTGGCAGCTGCAGCCAATCATCATATCAGTCACATTCCAACCAGGACAGACTCCAGCTTTTGATAAAAATGGTGTGTCAGAATTATTGAATATTAAGTTGTTTTTTTTTCTTTGTTACGTAGAAATATTTGTTTTATTTTTCAATGTTACTTGCGTGTATTTGTTTAATCAAGAAACTATTCCTCCCAAACTTAATTACCAAGTTTCATGTTCATTATCTTTTCCTAAGTTTGAGCCTCAAAATGTGTGGTCTACTCACACTGCAATACAATGTTGTGTTAGATTGTATTCTGGCATGATGCTAAAAAAGGCCAAAATCCTTTTAAGTTAACACCAAAGGCTTTTAAAGTAAAAAAATAAGTAGTAGATAGTATTTCCTTATAGTGAAATTTATGATCAATTAACATTACGTTAATAAAGCTTTGCTTGGACTCACACGAATAATTCTACATATGTTTTTTTTCCCCCTGTTGAATGGATAAAGATTTCAGAATCTCGGAAAAAGTTGATGCTGCTTCAATTTTGTCCAAAGTAATTGAGAGTAGTTGTCCTTTAATTACTCAAGTTTATTTGTTTTGCAATTTCTTGACTTTCATTGTTCTTCAACAATTCATTTATTTCTTAGACTCATGTAATTTGTGCAAGACTGCAGCTGAAAAACTCTTGAACTTTGACCCAAGCAATGCCACTAAAATTAGAGACTTTCTTGATTCTATCAAGCTTGATGTAAGTTTTTGTTTTTTATAGAAATATATTGCTTATGAAGGTATTTTAGGGCTAGGCTTTCCTGAAAGAATGAATATACACAGGAAATTGGTGCCATTGTCAAAAGAATTTATTTAACTTTAATTTTGAATAAGTTGGTTTGAAGCTTTGACCTTTCACCTAGTATTCAAAAAGTTGAATTCTGAGTTGATTTTAAAAAAAAAAAAAAATTCAATATTAAATATATTCCATTGATTATTTCATTTAAATTATCCATTGATTTTTTAAGTTGAAAAAAGATTTTGTTCTTAATTCATTTATGCATTTTTATCTAAAATTATAAAATGATATTTTGCTCTAGTTTGTGCACAAATTGAATGAACTGAAGAGATTCCTGAAGCAAGCTGAACTGGATCATTACGCCTTATACAGGTAAGTTGATAGATTTTTTTTTATAAACCATTGTATTTCATTTTAGTTTTAGACATAAAGGCTTCAAATGTATCTTAACTATACCCTGAAATTACCTTCTATTTGTTGGTATTCTATTGCCTTATTTCTCTGTCTTTTCAAATATGCTTGGTGTATCTGAATGCCAATTATTGTTCGTTTTTTGTTTTATCTAAGGACATTTCAGGCTTGATGCAGCTAAATAAACATAAATGTTTGTTTATTTTTGTCTAAGGGCTTTCTCTTATCTCAAGAACTGTGGATGCGGTGATTTACTTCTGCGGTATGTCAAGTTGGATGGAGGACTAGATGCTTTAAATTTATTGTCAGTACTGGAAACCTTCATCAAGGATAAGGGACTTACTCTGCTGTGATACATTTCAGACGTGAAGTATGGCTCTTTATATAAAACATCTTCTGGACATTCCGTACCGCTGAAAGTTTGTTTCCAATCATGACTAGTCAATACAAGGGAAAACTTCTATTCTATTCATTACAGTTATCAGCTCTAGAGATATCGAGGCATGGATTAACTGTACATGTTTGGAGGATGAAAGTGTTGTTAAACAACTCTGTACAGGTGGGTCTCTAACTGCGAATGAGTTCTGTTTTTAGGGATTGTTCTTTATATGTTTTTGTTTTTATGCATCAAATGAACTAAATATGCACTGTTTGGGTCTGTGAAGCAATCATATTTTGCATATAAAAAGTTTTGTATTAAAAATCCAACATATTTTTGGGGGAAAAAAAGTTGCAAGTGTAAATTTTTAATAATATTTTTTTTTTATTATTTGAATTAAGATGTTTGTTATCTGAATATTCATAAAACAAGAACTTAATTTATTAATTTATGTGCCAATGGAGTAGTCTTCACATTTAGCCTAAGTCAAAAAACATTTGTAGCTAGCACATAACAGAAAATTAGAAAATTATTTCCTTTTGTGTATAGTTTAATTAACGATGTAGAAATTTAACTCTGCATTACTCTGAAAGCATTGGTGTCCTACAGACAGTCATCACTAAATCACAATAGTTTCTGAACTTGTTTTCCATTTGCCACTAAAATCTTATGAGAAATCACTTAACTTGTATTAAGTTGTATTTGTTTAAATTTTAATAATCAAAGTGAATTAAATCAATTAAATTTGAAGCTAATTTGTTTAATTTCTATAGACTGCTGCATTTAATCAGAGGAACCATCTGGGCTTTTTCATTTCTAATCTTTTAGCATTTAATTTAAATTTTAATTTAATACATTTTTGTTATTTAAATATTTAATTTTTGTGAAAAATAAATGTGTCTCCCTTCTTGACATCATGACTTTAAATATAACACAAGCTGCCTCAATGTTAAGAAAAACAAGCATTCACTAATGCCCATATTGGCTGAAGTATCAAATGTTTAGAGAACAAATCGCATACAGGTTAATGTTTGAAACAATAAATTTGACTTGTCTGTTCCTTTTTTTATAAAGGTTGGCGACGGCTAATATAATTCCTCATGATAAATGTATACGTTAAGAATAAATTACAACATGTTGTATGAGATTGTATTTGTCGAAATTGTCTAGTCTAAGCTGACTAGGCTTCAATTAATAATTGTATGTTCCAAAACTTGAACACTTGTATACTTTTACACACACACACAAAATTTTTTTAATTTAATAAAAAAAAATTTGAGATCTAATAAAGAAATAAAGGTGACCTCATGCTTGAGACCTTGGCTTCCACTCCCAGATATCCTGAAAAAAATTAGGGGGAAATCTAGAGAGGTAAAAAGTGTCAAATGGGAGTTTTTATTTTACATAACCAAGTCAGATCTTGTCTAACAATCTATTTTATTTCTATCAGCTGTGACATTTGCTTTGAAAAATTAATATTTAAACTATGAGTATGAATGCATTATTTAATTCCCTGTCCTTGGCAAACATTTTTTGACAAGGAAATTAAAAATGCATATGTGTGTTTCAAATAGATTACAGCCAGACACTGCAGTTTTTGAAAACTAAGTTGAAAACACACCTTTTTCGCACTCACCTGCTGGGGTGATGTAGTCTACTGCCTTGTTTTAGCTTGCTCATATTCCTCAATGTAGATTTCGTATTGTTGCGTTTTGTATTTTATTTGTGAAAAAATATAAATTGTCATATATGGTTGACTTTGTACTGCGCTTCGAGCCTTAATTAAGGATGAAGCGTGTTTTTGAAATGAACTTTATTATTATTAGTATTACATTTAAATTTAACTAAAATATATACGGTATGAAATTGAAAAATAGAAAACTAATTAAAAGGTTTTCATTTAAAACATGTCTTTTAATGTCAGTGTACATCAGTGGTTAAAAACGTATGGCCCGTCTATCTAATATGTCCATAGAGTCAGTATAAAAATTGAGCTTGTTTGAAAATGTCAGTGATATTTCTACTCCCAGATTTGGTAAACTTAACAATTACTTTAACAGTTGTGTGTGGTTATAAAATGGGCTGGCTCTTTCTTTTTGTTTCAGAAGCTGGGATTTTTTTAAACTTAGTTTGCCCCAAAATTGACTTGTATTTTTCAAAGGATGGGAACATTTTTTTTTTTTTTTAAATATAAAATTCATGAAATATAAATTATGCACTATACCAGCGTTTTCCAAGCTTTTAAGTTTGGAAGACAAGTATTAAAATTGCACCAGGGAACGGTACCAGATTTATTAGTAATATTTTATATTTACTTGAACATAAATATTTATGTTGCACTATATTGCAACTTGCCTTCTGGAGCCTGAAGCATCAAGCTTTACACATACTAAGAACTAATCTTTAAAAAAAATTGCCTATTCTCTTACTCTTTAAATTTTTGTGTGTAAACAACTCCTCCAATGCAACTGATGCCAAGCTGTATCATCCACATATGGTGTTCCCTTGGGCTATCCAGGTTGATGGAGAGAGGCGATTTGCTGTCTAGGGAACCAGCTTATAGTCCTAAAGGCCCTGTGATTTATCATGCAAAGTCTACACCATCGTCACATTGTGAAGGACGGATGCCATTTATATATATATACATTTGTATATATATACACATATATATATATATATATATATATATATCTGTGTGTGTGTTAAATTGATTGCCAGCGTCATTCAATCAATTTTTTTTTTAAATGTCAAATATTTATTAATTTAGCTAAGTTATAAATATTTTTTGGGAACATTTGTTTTGATTAAAATTAAGGCCACCTAAATGGCGCATTATCTCTCCTCACTGCCCCATGAAAGTTTGCTGAACTCTCATAGTGTTAAAAAATTCATCTAAGCCCAGCAGATATGAATCAGTACCATAAATACCACATATTTCAAGTCTTGAGAATAAACAAAAAGGCTAGTTCTTTCTGTGACTAAAAAAATTATTCAGTAAAAATCTTCTACCAGCATCCAAAATAAAATAAATTAGGCTTTGAGCATTGTAACTGTGTTTTTAATTTTAAGGAACAAAATCAAGAGAAAGCTGGGCACATCTTTGTTAAAAGGGTGTTGTTTTTTTTTTAAACCTACAATTTAGTATAATAAACTTAGAGCGACCCTTATTTTATTGTTTTCTACAATTTCTACATCTATTTGTTTAACCAGTCATTACAGCTTTAGAAGCCTTGAAAAATTTAAAGTACATCATTCTTATTTTCACCTGTAAAGGGCATGTATATAACTGGAGGTTTTGTGCCTTTTAACTGTGGAGTGTGGTATATTGAAATGGTTTTAATATTATTGTGTGTAAAACAGATTCAGGACAGGTCATCTGTGTCAATGTCCATCCATTGTGATAATTGCTGTAATACTCAACAGTTGTCATCTATCATTTGCCAATGCCACAACTTATACAAAGCAATGAGACTGTCCAAACAAGTAACCTTTATAACTTGATATTGTACTTATCAAAGTCTGTGCTTTAAAAAAGGATTTATTTTAATAAACATATTACCTAATAATTAATTAATATTAAAAATCTCCATCCACACAGTTGTTCTTTCTACTGTTTAAGTTGTTTGCAACTCTTTTGAAAACTAGGAATGAGAAGCTGGATACATTATTTTCTAAAGTAATGTCAAGTATACATTGTATAGCAAAAGTCAGGTTAAATGTTTTGTTTAGTATTTGATATGGTTATTAAATTTATTTGGCTCTATTTTTTTCTATTTGCAATGGTACATAATGAAAATCAGCATCTTTACCTCCAAATTTAATGAAACGAGAGGAAAATAACACTACAAATGGTGAGGATATTATCAGTTATAACTGTCGACTAGTTGAGCAAATATAGCGATGTAGTTCCATATTTCAGTATTATATATATTATTTCTATTACTCCTTGATTCTCCTATTAAATTAGCTTTCCTTTATCCTAAGCTATAGCCACAGCCTGTAATTTATGGTGTTCGATTTACGATTTCATGCTAAAATGTAAATAAAGTAGTGGACCACAGAAGGTCCTCAATTATCGACAGGATTCTGTTTTTCAACAGCAACATAACTTGAAATGCGTTGCAATGTTAAGCACCCAACGACAAGTAAACGACATGTATAAATGTATACGTATTATGTAGTAAAATACATATCTTTGCATGTACATACATACATCAAATTTAAGATAATTAAAACAAAAATTAAACTTAAAATAAATTGCAGTACTGTGTATATGGTATTCCTTTTTTTCCGTGTAAAGTTTGGTTGTAGTTTATTTGTATGTATGTATGTATGGCATCTTTCCGTCTGCGAGAGACGATAGATTATCTTTATTGCTTGCAGTTCTTGGTGTGGCTGGTGAGACCAATCCTCAAATGGCAGTCTCTGTTACATTTCCCACACACGAATGCGGTGGAGCAGTATTTACCGGCCTTCCTCCTCGCTCTTTTTGCAGCTGTTTCCACCCTGTTTTGATCCTCGGCATGTAGTGATCCTGCCTTCACGATGCCCCGCCATGAGGATCGATCCTCTGCCAGCTCCTCCCAGTTTGAGATGTCGATGTTGGCCGACTTCATGTCTCTTTTGCATATGTCTAAGTATCTCAGACGAGGCCGTCCAACTGACCTTTCCCTGTCGCCAGCTCGCTGTATAGCACGTCCTTTGGTATGCGACCAGATTGCATTCGCTTGACGTGTCCAAGCCAGCGGAGGAGTCTTTGGATTAACATGGCTGGGACGCTACACATGTTTGTTTGGGACAGGACATCCGTGTTGGGGACTTTGTCTTGCCATTTAATGTAAAGGATGTGGCGCAGGCATCTGAGGTGGAAGCCATTGAGCCTTCTTTCGTGTTTTAGAGTATGTGGTCCACGACTCGCATCCATACAGAAGTGTGCTCAGTACGCAGGCCTGGTACACCTGCAGCATAGTTCTTGTTGTGAGTTTGGCGTTTGACCAGACTCTTTTCTTAAGTCTGGCCATAACAGTTGCGGCCTTCCCTATCCTCCCACTTATCTCATCCTCCATTGAGAGGGTGCTCGATATGTTGGATCCCAGATATGTGAATCTGTCAACAGTATCCAAGTCGTAGTCGTCGATGGCGATAGTGGGGAGGGAGTCAGCGCCCTGTGCCATAATGTTAGTTTTCTTTAGGCTAATTGTCAGACCAAACTCTTTGCAGGCAGCGGATAGGCTGGATACGAGGCTCTGCAGGCCGTCAGCTGTGTGAGATACCAAAGCGGCGTCTTCTTCTTCTATATCTTAAGGGCCCATGATCAATTTATTGATCATTTTGGCTCCTATGCATGTAGATGGGATTTGCAATGTTTCTGTTACTGATGTTGATGAGGAAATCATGCACTAGGGGTTTGAAGGCTTGAGGCAATAGACACAAATGTATCAAGCGTTGTCGCCTCAACCGTTCCTTTTGAAAGATTGTTCCAGTCCCTGATCGTCTTGGGCAGGAATGAGCAGCTCCTATACTGGCTTCTTGCTGGCATCGTCCGCAAACAAGAACTCCTGCAGCAAGACATTTCTTGTTTTAGTCTTAGCTCTAAGGCGGGCAATGTTGAATAATTTGTAGTTTATTTACATATGTACATATTCCACAGGCTAAGCTATTAACTTCCATGATCAAATAGTACTTACTTGTGGTGGGCTGAAAATAACTATTCAATTTTTTTTTTTTAATTTAAATTTTTGCCACCCGGGAACGACCACCGTAACATCGAATCCGCCACAAAATGAGGACCTCCTGTTTATAAGTCTTTTTCAAACTTTGAGCATATTCTGTTGTTTTAATATTAGTGTACTATTAAAAATTAACAACTAATTTCCTTCAGAGGAAAACAAAGCTTAAATACGAAAAAAACCATCTTAAACAAAGCATTTTATTACTATGAAAGCACAAACTTTAATAAAAATAAAGGGAAATTTGATGAAGGTGTTAACAAATTCAAGATGCAAATAAGTATGCATACAAGTTTTTTTATGGCAAAGAGGTTATTTTTAAACTTGAACAATTATAAATTTTATTTACTCATTCTTAATTATGCATCATGTGGTAATAAGAGTTGATCCTGAGTTGATCCTTAATATTAATCAAATGTTCTAAATATCATTACAGAGAATGTTGAAGTAAATTGTATTCAATGTGTACAACGATATTCGTTTACTCTCAAAAGTCATTTATAGTGATTTAAAATTTAACAAGCAAAATAACAGGAATATACACTTTACAGAACAACAAATATTTTATTTTGCTTGATATACAAATATTACTGACAAAATACTTCAACTTCAAGGAATGCATTTTGAGGAAACAAAAGTAATGTTTTGTTATATTTCTTTGTTCATTGCTATGAAATGTAAACATCATGTGCAAGGGAGTCACAAATACTTAACAACCAAATTGTAAACTGTGGTCCATAGCATAACTGGCAAATTTAATGTTTGAAAAGCTGTATAATGCACAGGCTTAGAAAATAAATATTGAGGAAAAAATTTACATGTGTAACCTACTGTTCATAAAAATTTTGCAAATGTTAATTACCAAAACATGAGTGCCGAAGTTATTACCTATTTGAATTTTAAAAAATGACACTTTAAACTGCCTCAATAGCATGTCTCTGATCATCCCGAAATATTGAGGTTGAACCTACAAACGTACATTACATTAAAATTAAAGCAGACATGACATTGATGACATAAACTATCATGTTGGTTCATTCCAAAATGTACATCATTATACAAAAAATTTAAAAAGAGTTTCTTCTCTGTGGAATTTTATTGCTAGGTACAAAGTACATAAAGGCATACAATAAAATTGTGTTTAAATATTTCCACACATGAAACAGAAAACTGAATGCAGAACTAAAATGTTAATCATTCTTTTGAAACTTGGTCAGGCCTTACAAAGATGGAGGAATCTGCAGAGGAACAATCTCATTTTGTTGGCTGTTACTGTTCTAACCCAGAAATTAAACAAACCTGTTTTCTTTCAAAAAATTTAAATAAAGATCTTTTTATATTTAAATCAGTGGTGAGCAATGGCTCCATGGGCCATTTTGATTGTGAGTAAACTTCCTGCGGGTCGCAAGTCATTGCAGTTGTCAAATAAAATAAACACCCAATAGATGCGTTACATAGTAATTTACTCTATAACACATCGACACATGCTGCACTCACACATAAATTAATTGTAGAGATTAAATTGAGATATTTTCTTAAGACCGATAATCAATTTAGTTTAGTTTCATTTGTAATGCATCTGGTGGGGCCTCAATGTGTAACATGCTGGTCAGCATGTGGCCCATGGGTTGGCCATAAATGATTTAGATAATCTATAAAAAATTAATTTCTGTGACTCTGAAAACAATCCCAGAAATCTCATACTCATACCCATCAACATTAATTATTGAAAGTCTCCATTATTTATCTGGGTGTTGTGGGTTTGAATTAGTTACTGAAAAATATTCTAATTTGCCTTGGAAATTACAATATCAGCACTTTCATTTAATTTATAAAAACAATCAACTT